ATGCGTTTAGCGCACGAACCTCTAGAGAAATGTGCGTCGATGTATTTTTCTTGTTCTTTGCAATCATTCAATTCAGTTAAGAGCCATGAAATCGTGACTAGGTTTGCGCCCATGAGAGATTCTAGATGTAACACACGCGTGAAAATAAAGCAGAGAAAAGTAAAAAGGAAGTGGAGTAAAGGAAAAGATGGGAGGACAGGCGATCCGGGTGGTTTGTTGGTATATATTACTATAGAGATAACCGTTCAGTATGCGCGAAATCAGGCCGCCAATAAAGAGCCGCGAAGGAGCACCAGCTGATCATATACAAGCCCTTCGTTTTTTTGTTTTTTTTTTGCTGCAACAGTACCATTTAAACGCGACATGCACTAAACGAACTGAAATCAAAGAAGTTGAAAGGGCCTGAAAATAAAGTCTCGAAGCTACAAAAAAAATCAAATCCAAACTAAACGAATAGTGAAGCAGGAAATGACGGAGTGGTTTCGCAGATCACACTGACGTCGCAACAACCCGAAAAGTGAGGGCGCGTACAACATCATTATTGGCCGACCTTCGTTGTAAACGATTCTTCGCTAGAGCGATGGAAACGATGTTGCAACGCCAGTGAAGACACGGAAAGGAGGGCGGTGTGCGCAGTCATATACTACAATCCGAGAAAAGCGTTTTCACGCAGTTCACTCGGAAACGCATGGCGGGGCGTTTCGCGATCGAGTGCTTCGCGTCGAAGAGACGGCGAGCTGAGACAAGAAAAAGAAAGGGAGTGGACGACAACGAGTGTGAATACGAAGGGAGGATCTTGTATTCTGTCAGGAAAGAGCACACATGCAAGCACGGCCGACGTGTCGAGAGGAAACAGACGGGGCGGCCATGACTATGGATGAGTTTCGAAAAGCAGAGGTGTTAGCGGCGCATTGGAAAGGAAGAAAAAAAAAGAAACGGAGCGATCGCGGCGGCGCTCTGTGATGTTAAAGGCAAGAAAAAAGGCGGAGGAGAATAGCGCAATGGAAAAGTAACGAGATAAATAGGCTAAAGGAGAAAAAACAACCGGAGAAAACGAGAAAGGTATGGGATAGATAAGGAAATAAAGAGCACTGCCGTGCCCCCTTACGAAGTAGCGAGCAGAGATCTTTCCAGTTGAGACGGCTTAAACGCGCGCAGAGGCCGTTCGCTTCCTCGCTCTTCTTTCGAGGCCGCGTGGCCTGGCTCGAAACGCGGAAATGCCCGGGAAATGGCGACCGTCGTGCGCGTAGATGACGGAAATAGTCGCCTCCTCCGTCGCGAGCCGAGGCGAAATCACGATCGGCACGAGTGTTGCTCCGCGACTGAGCTGCACGCTCGCGCTTGTATCGATGATTGACCGGTCGCCGACGGCGCCTTCGTTCATGTTGGACGACGCGAAAGACAAGAGAAAGGCCCGCTTCGCGAAGACGCAGCGTTTTGAACGTTTAGTCTATTGAGTGCTTTTTTATTTCTTCATTTTTTCTGTATTATCAGGAATGAAAAGCTCAATGCAATTCGGTTATGCGTCTTTAGGGGCCAGAAGGACGTCATCATCATGAGAAACGCATGAATGAGTCACTGCATGATTAGATCTGTCTCGTCGAGGTTCCCATCTGTTCACCTAATTCTAGGTACACAACTGTTGTGGCTTTTGTACTGTTGAAATTTGCCTGTCATGGTCGGGTACGAACCCGCGTTGCCCACGTCCTCGAACTCAGCACCTTAGACTTCAAGCTATGTCGCAGTGGGTGGCATGAAATCTACGCTCGCATCTTCTGCAAGGGCGTGAGAGACCGGAGAGTGGTGGAGAGAGAGAGAGAGAGAGAGAAAGAAAGACCATTGACATCGAGAAACAAAAATAGAGGTCGTGTCCACACGATTCTATGTCGTGTCATGTTCAAGCTTTGAGCGAGCACTCATATCTTAAAAGATGGTGTTCGTTGTAACGATACGGGCTCCGATACCTATACACGTAGGTTCCAGTCGCGTGTTGTCATTTCACTCGTGTCGCGTCGCCATATAGACCATTCATTAGTGTGTAGAACCTTAATGAAATAGAGTTTACATGAAGGCTGTTCACTCACTGACTGGCATTTCCGGAACGGCGCGTCTATAGAGTCTGAATAGCTGTAGATGCTAATTCAGTGCATACTTGGCGAAGTTCGGCTATCGAAAATAACCCGTGACCTCTACGGCGACGCCAAAGTAGTGGTGACGAGATAACGCATCGGAGAGAGAGTCAGGGGTCACTTGATTAACTCAATAATCGGGGTTATATGAATGACCAAGCTGCTTCGAACAAAGCTCACCAACGTCATTATCGATTGAGTGAAACCGACTGTGTAGTCTTTGTCCCGTGTGGGTACGGTAGCCTGAGCCAGCAACTAGCCAGAGTAAAGTCTAGACCTTGCCGTACATTGGAGTGCAGTGTTGAAAGCGCGTGTTCACTTTCCCAAAAATATGCACACCATTTAGGTCGGTTTACTTTTCTTATAATCTAATCAGCGTTAACCATACCGCTACGTGATTTGAAGTAAACGCCTTTAAAATATATGTACATACACAAAAGAGGCAACGAATACAAACTGTTTTTACTTACTTCTCGCGCATTAACGCTTTCAAGTCACGCAACCCCGTTAGCAGTTTTCGATAACCCAGCAAGCGATAAGCAAGTCGTCAACGCAACCAAATGCGACATGTGTGTGTGTGCTATAAAAGGGGTTGTAACCTGGGCTTTTCTCATTCGAACACCATGCATACATCGGCGGCACAAGCACACATTTCAGCGCACATGAGGCATGTAGGTTATCTATCATTGATTGATTGATTTGTTGGTTTTAACATCCCAAAACCACCATATGATTATGAGAGACGCCGTAGTGGAGGGCTCCGGAAATTTTGACCACCTGGGGTTCTTTAGCGAGCGCCCAAATCTGAGCACACGGGCCTACAACATTTCCGCCTCCATCGAAAATGCAGCCGCCGCAGCCGGGATAGGTTATTTATCATTTGCTATACTACGCTCCGTGCGTTGGTACTAGAAGAAAAACTATTTTATTTTAGGGTATTCAGGCAAGTGAGGAGTGAGTGGGTCTTCTAGTTCAGGGCCCTGTTGACCTGCGCGGCAAAGTCCACAACTTTGTTAGACTGTTCAAGTTTTCAGCATGCTTCCGTGCAAATCTCATTCGGTGACAATTCGCGTGATACTCTTGACACATGTGCACCTCATACATCTTGAGTAGTGGGTACGACAGCTGTTTCCTTCGAGCATTGAAGTTTATGCCGTATATTAAGGGTAGATGAACGGGCATGTCAGTAATGTTGGCCCGTCAATTAGTAGCTCGACGACCGATATATGGCATAAGATAAGAAATAACAGCATATAGCGTCTTTCTTTGTGTCTCTTCGTTTCCGCTCATACGTTGGTCGTCGCGCTACTGTAACCAAGGGCGCCATGTGGGCGGCCTTATTCAATTGACTAGTATAATTCAGTCAAAGCTAAAGCTTTTACCACTGTTAAATATCACTAATTGCAATTCCGACGCGAGTAGCATAAACACGAGCCTCCTATCACACAACAAAAATTAGCCTCTTTTATGTGATACGCGTGCTTACATCCGGCCGTATTAAGTAATCCGCATGGGTAGAAAACAAAAAAAAAGACATACTAGGAAAACGTGCCTGCACTGGAACGAAATATACGCACCTCGTTATCTACATGCTGCAGGAATATTATTTAATCGACTCGGAAGGCTCGGACTGTGTATTTCATTCTATCGGAGAAAATGTATATAGTAACAATAACATATACCGCCTGTGTACAAATATATCGGCCAACAACTGCAACAGTGCGCCGGGTATCTGTTATCGCTTTCTAAAACATTACGTTGATTTAGTTCTTCCTGTTTGCAGATGGAATGCGTGGCTTCTCTTGATCTAATCGCGGAACGTGCAGCAAAAGTGATAAAAAAAGAAATAAGAGAGGAGAAACGGCTCCACTGGCATTCAGAATGTGGCCAATTAGCTTGTTAAAACACTCATTATATGGGTACACGACGCTGAGAAGTACGAATCCAGCTTACGAAAATGTCGATGAACACACGCAAACTTTCTCTTTTTTCCCCCTCCCTCCGGGCTTATTATAGTCGTCTCGCCACCGATGTTCTAGAGGCATGGTTGGCGGGGTTAACGTTCTATACTTTTCCTCGAGGAACTGATCTAGATATAAGTGGGGCGGACGTACGGCATCGATTTCCCGGCGATTGATTTCTCTTCATTTCTTCCCCTGTTTCACGTGAGTGTCTATGCGGACTTACTTACATAACTGGGGCAAGGAATTTTCCCGCCAACGAATGTTGTGTAAAGACAGTGCCCGATCTATAACCTTAATAAGACATACAGCTTAAGTTATTCTTCGCCTTAAGTAGAAAGAAAGCATCTGCAACAAGAGACCCACCATGAAAATGAAGATCCTCGCTGAATTTTAAACGATGAGGGCAAAAAAAGAAAAAAAAGTATGTTGGTCACAAATGAAGCACTATGAGCAGCAGACCATGGATATGCATAAAAAGGACTCAAGTCTATCTTGCAACTTGTTTGTTTTTTTTTCTACTTATTTCACGTACTGTCGAACTCGATGTTCAAATGCAACTGTTTTTTGTCTGACTGTCCTCAATGTAAATGAAAGTGCGTTGTAATTCAGTTTTTACCTTATGTTGGAATGTTATTTTTTTACTGCCGACGATTACTTACTATATTTTAAATTTGGTAGAGCTGGCTTCATTTTGTGGGTTCAATGAATCAGACTAACCTACCCTCCCAAACTTTTTTTTTCCTTTAGGGCTCCAAGTGCTTTTCGGCTATATATCAGAAGGAATAAAAAAATAAATACGTCAAAGGAAAGATTTACATCACATCGGAGCCCATGTATTAGATATTTGTGAGCTAATTTAAGCAACACTCGAGTGACTCACACGATCATGCTCTTGTGCCTGTTTCAGACGAGGAACGCCAGGATATCGACTGCTGCAAGTACTCTCCCGAGGAGAGGCATCCCAACTGCTTGGTCATCGACGTGCCACGTGACGACCCATTCTACAAGTTCTTCAACCGCAAATGTCTCGAGTTCGCCAGAGTCCTCGCCGGTCTCAGGCCATCCTGCACACTCGGTGAGCGTCGAATACCGCTTCCTGTGATACACCCTGTTCAAAGCTGTGGATGCATTGTAATGACCTAGATTTACATTGGGATCCCATATAGTAGCGGCCGCATTGAAGCCGTAGTAATCAAGAGTTCGGCACTTTACACATAAGTTTCTTCAACATGTTCGTTACGCGGTGAATAACCGTTATATGTTATCCCCCTCCTTTTTTACGTGCTTCCTTCTTTCTCGCTGCAGTGTATATGCGTACACCCGATGAACTTCCCTGCCTTTGATTTCTATTGCTCTCTCTCTCTCTCTCTCTCTCTCTGTTTTCCCAATTCTTCCATACACCAGTAATCAGCGCAAGTAGAAGCATAAAATCATTGGTACAGTTTCTGGCAAAGCTTGATGACAAGGAAACTTCTTTTAACGTCCGTGTATATAACGTAAGATTTTTTTCTTTCATGAGACACAAGTTGTTTTTATTTAGCCTGCTTATTTGTAATCCTCGTGTGCATAGGCACATGTCATACCGATGCACTCTCCCAACTGAACGACGCATTTTCCTTTCAGGTCCGCGGTCCCAGATGAACATCATTTCGGCATACATCGATGCCGGCTTCGTCTACGGAAGCACCCAGGAAGTCGCCAGCCGATTGCGCGAGTTCTCCGGAGGTAGGTGTCCCCCCCTTTTTTTTCCCTGATCGAGGTCGTTGTACGCATATATACGTCTAGTACGTATACGATTCGGGCGCCCGGCGCTAAGTTGGCACGCCCATGATAGAGTGCTATGCAGCTCCCCGCTGTGCGACCTCGCGAACCGCAACTGGGGTGCACACCGTAATCGAAGACACCTCTCTGGGGCGGCCGTAGTATACGATGGTGGCGGTAGAACGCCAACGCCGATCCGTATCACTGATTTGTGTCTCTTCCCTCTTTCTTTTTCTGCTACTATTCCTCGCTTGAAACAAGGACGCATGAAGACCACTCCTCTGTACCGGGACTTGGGCCTCAAGGACCTGCTGCCCATGAAGACGGTCGAGGCGGACGTTGGCTGCATGGCGAGGCCCAGGAACCTTTACTGCTTCGACGCAGGCGAGTGCACAATGCAGCCAGTAATCTTCCCTTCCACCTTTCCCTTTCCCTCAACTTCCTTAATTCGCCCTGTGCGCGCTGATGTGAAACCATCATCATATGGGCGGCGGCCACGAACGTATGGCGGCCGCTGCCGTGCGCATTGGCGTCCCACTCAGACCACCTTGAGCCTGACACAACCGAGTTAACAGACCTCGAGCTTGTCAAATCTATAACGCCTCCTCGTTACACCTGTCGTACTACCAATCTCGAAGCATCAGCGCGATACACTTAGCGCCTCGCCGACGTCGCTTTGGTCGTAATGAAGCAGCTAAAAGGAATACGCGGAGGAAACGGACAAGGACAATGTCCTGATGGATACGGGATGTCACTTGTCTCGCCGACAATAATATACGCCATAGTACGCTTAAAGAGGGGTGGGGTGGGGGTAATATACAGAGGTTGCCATGCGCAGTAGCCAGGCGATGAAGTTTGAACAGTGTACGGTCAGGTAGCCAAAAGGTATTAACAGTCGACGCAAGCGAATCAAGATCTTACAGGGCCACGTCAGTGGAACCCAGTTTACAATATTAGATTGTTTTGTCAGTGCCAAGAATGAATGAATGGGGGAAACACAACGGCGCATAAGCAGAGGCAGATCAGACAAAGTACAACGGTTCGATGATGCCGCCATTCCAAGTGAGTGATCTTACGAGTGTAGCGGTCGAAAGTTTCGACCTAATCATTCTCCTGCCGAAATATATAAACCAAGGTTACCGCGTAGCACACGCGTTTGTCCCCATCATCCTTAGCAAGCTTTCACTTCGCTGTCAGTGAAGCAACAATGGCTACCGCAGGGCTTTATTGTCCCGATATAACTGCGGCCAGTTATCGAATCACAGCCCTCACGTACCACAATACATTCTAAAACCAAGGCACGGAACGCTTGTATACGGTGCTCGAACAACTTCGAAAAGCAAGGTCAGGTACTCTTTATCGCTGTACAGGAGAATAACCTTCACAAAGCGCCATGCCACATGAACAAAAAAAAATCATTTCTGGTTCGCATTTTTTTAGCTTATCTTTTTGCAACGAAATAAAGATACAGCACATGATTGGTCCAAACTGTTAAACGAGAACTGAACAGTACATCTAGATATACCAGGCTAATTTTCCATTGTGCGTTAAGAACCAGGGTTTAGATATAGTCTGCACGTCTGATCTCCATTGTCCGTGTCTTTAGCAACTCACCAAACGATACAACATTGAGTGCAATCAAAAAAGTTCTCGGGCGCTCTTTGTCTATTTTAGGTCCATTGTTCTCCATTGCGCAAGGCATGCCGATAACCAGAAAAAGTGCTTTGACGAAGGCAGGCTAAACCTCACGTTGTGCTTTTTTTATGACTCCTCTTCGCTTATCATAATTGCATTGAGAATTGATATGTTTCCATTGGGAAAGAGGCTAAGGCGTGCTTACACGGACAAAAGAGAACGTAACTGTGCTAGGATCAGGCAATACGCAAAGGCAAATTATCAAGGGAAAACCCGTGTAATTACACTTAGGATTAGTTAGGTTAAAATTCAAGTAACTCCGGGTGGCAGTAATTTCTGAAGCGCTCCGCTACGGCGTCTCACGTAATCATATTGTGGTTTTGAGACGTTTACTCTCAACAAATATTGCAGCTGTCAAGTGAATGTGTGTACTGTGGTGCAATGAAGGCAACTCAAAATTTATCTGCAACAAATTCACGCGTAAAATAGACACATCTCGGGGTCTACGCGATAGATAATTGTTTAAGAAGTTTGTTTTCTTCCTTGTGCACGCAAGTTATGAAGAGGCTAGCTTCAAGTACTATTATTATGCTAAGCCTCAACCAGAAGACTCATTTTCTCGCTCTTGCGACTACATAAGCTGCGCATTCATCGAATCTAGGCATGCAGTTACGATTCGGTAAAATTTGTCGCAAAGATCCTTTAAAAGACTTATGTTCATTGCACCTCTGAATAACTAGTGGTTGATATCCCCTATGCGTACAAGTGGCCAAAGCCTAAAGACGGAGATAGTTTCTTCATACCAAACAGCTTAACTTTCAATCGTCCGGTGCTAATTTTAAATTCTTATTACCTAAACATACTGGTATGTAACACAAGAACATATCCAGAAGACCCAAATATCGATTGAATTACATCGTAATAACCGTGTAATCCAGCCAATCTCGCTTTCGTACAATCTCTTTTTTTCGAACGCAGGCGACGAGCGTGTGAACGAGCAGTTGTCACTGACGGTGATGCACACGCTGTGGCTGCGAGAGCACAACAAGATCGCCAAGGGCCTGCAGGAAGTGAACCCACACTGGGACGACGAGACGCTCTTCCAGGAGACGCGGCACATCCTCATCGCCGAGGTGCAGCACCTCACGCTCACCGAGTGGCTGCCCGCCGTGCTGGGACCCGACGCGGTCAAGAAGTACGGACTTACGCCCGCACTGCACGTAAGACAAGCCGCACAATCGATCGCTCGATTATTCAAATAATTAACCGCTTGAGGTCACGAGGAGAAAATGCTGTAGTGAGCCTTACTAGAGTTTCCAACCCATTAAGTTGAGTTGCACGCATAGCTGGCTCATACAGTACCCGCAAATATAGGCATGAATGAAAATCATGTTATGGTTGTGTACATCACCAATCTGGCGTAGTTAGCGTACATAATATAGTACAGAAAAGAAAAAATGAAAAACGAAGCCACTACATCAGAGAGAATTTTAATATTTGAGATTCTAGGTACACTGCGATAAACTTCCTGGACAGTTAGTCGTCGCCGTATTGTGTTGATTCTTCTCTTACCGTGAGAAATATGTGTTACCTTGAGAAACATGTATACTATGCTCAATTCCATGAAGAACAATGGAGCATTCGGCACCTCATTTCGAAGATGCGTTTTTTTTTTTTTTTGCTCTTGTTGTTCTCAGCAAATCAGCTTGAATAAAGTGGCAATTACAGCTACCGATGATAATCTACGCAGGGCTACTACGATGGTTACAGTCCGAAGGTGAACGCTGGAATCAGGCAAGCGTTCCAGGCCGCTGCCTTCCGTTTCGGTCACAGTTTGCTGCCCGATATCACAGAGAGATACAACAAGTTCCACGAGAAGCTTGGTAAGTTTCCTGTGTTCTGTTTATAAAGAATACACGGTTGACCAGGTGTTATGCTTGCCTCTACAATATGTCACGCCAATATCATGCCACATATGCATTGCACACCTATTAAGATTACACGAAGAACGTAGGAGGGAACATTCCAACCCTGTAGAAATCAAATTACATACTTAAGCAAGGACAGATGTCGGTGCAAGACTTGAGACTACGTGTTTGAGACTGCGGTTAGAGCTATAATAACGGAGCGATAATAGCAGCATAGTGTCATTTTTTCACGTCTTGCTATGAGATGGTACACTGTTCGACATTCTTTACACGAAACGTCCTTGCCACATCAAGAATTTATTGCACATAGCGAACGGATTAGGTTGCCTAATGCCTCATCACGTAACCACGATTGAAAAATTAATCAAGGCTAAATGAAATAAACGTGACATCTGTGCAGAAACATATCATGTGTGTATGCAGAAGACAAAACTTAGATCGATCGTCGAGAAAGTACACATGTTTAGCATTTATACGTTCCGGTAACTTTTGAAGCAAGCAACCTCTTTTCTCCCCTTTATCCCTTCCCCAGTGCAGGGTAGCAAACTGGATGTGCGTCTGGTTATCCTCCCTGTCTTTCCTTGCATTTTTATCTCTCTCTCTCTTGAAGAAAGAAGTATATTATCCAATTTAGCCGGTACTATCGACGGATCATATCAGCCACGGCCGCCTGTTAAAACTTTGTTTGGATGTATAGTGCACACGAGAATTTGATAATGTTAGCTGACTTGCGTTAGCGTTGTTACAAGGCGAGTAACTTATGTCAGGCGTGAAGCATTCATATTTATTTGTTGTGCACTTAGAAAAATCGCAGCGACCTAACGTACCACGTACTCTACTATGTGAAAGCAATAAGCTGTCCTTTAATTAAGCCGAACAGATGTAAGAGCCCCGTGTCAAAACAGCGCGTGAACTAGTTTTCTCTTTCGTTTTTTTTTTTTCAACAGAGTCCATCCGTCTGTCTAAGTTGCTGCGTCAGCCCTACGATCTGTATAAACCCGGTGTCGTCGACTCCTTCGCTCTTGGTCTTGTCGACCAGCAGTCCAACAGAATGGACCCCGAGATCACCACCGAGGTACGTTTGAGACCAAGATTTAATAGCTCCGGATAACTTTATAAACAATAACACCATTCGCATAGCACGAAGAACAAAATACTGATGCATAAAGGTCTACTATCTCATGCATGTGGCTGCCTTGTGCATGCGCTTTCCATTAATTAAAGTTCTCTTTGTATCCCTCGCGGTAATATTAGTTCTATATCCGTCTTCCACGTTTTACATGGTCGGTCAACATCTAATGTTGTCACGAACATGACGTCACGGACGCAAAACATGGCTTCAAAAGGTGGCATAGGTGACGTCAAGGCAGAATAATCACGCCTGCGTCAGTGTGATAAAGACGTCGATGTAACGTCATCGGGGCTCTGCGCACGAATGGCGAAAGAACAGAAGTCAGAGCGCGGTTTACTGATAAAACTAACGTGACGTCACAAGGTTAGCGTCCTACCATGTTGGTGCTCCAACGTGACTGCTTCAGTGACGTCAGTGCAAGCCATCTATAACTAAAGAGCTACACTGCAATTAGGGTAACAAAGCTACCTTCATAAACATGTTGATCTGAGCTTCATGACTCAATCATGAACCAAATTACGTGTGACAGGCGATGATGTTGTCAAAAATAGGACATAAAATAAAATGTGATTCCCCAAAAATGTGCCATATAAATATTTGGCCCAAGGCTCTAATTAAAGACAAATTAATTATTATTTGTGTTTATTGATCTTACGGACATCACGTTAATAAATTAAATATATGTGTGCCTCTAAATTGAGAAATTTGTAAGAATGGCTTGTCTCATGTCTTTATTTTAAAAATTGCGAAATAAATAGAGAAAGACGGAGAGAAATAAAAAATGAAGAACGCTCTGTAGACTCTATTTTCTACATGGTGTATGTGTATTTGTGTAAGTGAAGGGAGGGGGGTGTTTGGCAGATAGAAGTTCAGCAAACTTTGCAGGTCAGCTGCGACGTCAGTTGCGACTTAGAGCACGCCAAAAAGTCAAGAATTCGCCTAAGACGTTGTCGTTAGCCACAGATGCTCCACCAAGCAAGCAGAGCTTATCTTCTTTTTTTTTTCTTTTCTGGGGGAAAGCATGGGAGTGGAGGGGTTGAGGTATTCAACTACATTAAATAGTTTAATATTGATGTATACTTGTCAGTCGCAGTCTAAAGGGTTTCCCTTTGAACAATAACAAAAAGTATTAACAGCACACCAACTTGCCCAAGCGTCAACACTTTTTAACAATAACGTTACTTCTTCCTACGTAAGTCTATCGCCGTTTCTAGAATTTTTATTTGAACGTTAATGTTTACTGAATGTTTCATTGCTTGTGTAATATAAGTTCTATTCGAACAAACACTTAGCTCGTAACTTCTGCATGTTGCATCGGGCACGTCAGTTTTATTTCAGAAGCATACCGTTAAAGCTAGCTTCACTGACTGTAGTGATAAATCATCGATGAGAGAATGTTATACTGAAGCCGGCGTGTATTCAAGGGGACTTCGTTGCAACAGCACCTGGTCCCTGTTAGACGATTTCTCGTCGCTTTAAACCTTATTATTCTCCAGACTTTGTGCCTTGGAATGGTTGTAATCTTCATAACATCGTGAAAGTAAATTATCTAACCTTAGCTGTCCGTTAATCCCCCGCGATAACTACGTGACGCAGGTGACCAACCACTTGTTCGAAATGCCCGGCGACGGCTTCGGTATGGACTTGGTCTCACTGAACGTTCAGCGAGGTCGTGAAACCGGCATTCCCGGCTACAACGACTTCAGAGAGTACTGCGGCCTGCCGAGGGCAAGGGACTTCTCGGACCTCATCGGATACTTGCCCAACAAGACCATCCACCGATACGCGCAAATCTACAAGTACGTGATTCTGCCCTCACGCACTGCTGCGTGCGCCTGCGCTAAATCGTCAATGATGAAAAAAACTTCACGAAAGGTGCTTTACAACGGCGTAACTGGCAAACATTTAAAATACCCTCAGTACTTAACCAGAATCCATTCGTCCTGCACAACATATACACTATAGCGAACTGTGAAGAGCTCAAAGCGTAGTTCTATTAAAGATCAAACAGAAGGTCGCGACACGTGCTACGGAGCAGATATTTATAAACGGATATTTTTCGTTTAAAACATGTTGTGAGATTAACTTCGAACAAGCGGGCGAGGTGGCAGTGGTGTAAGCTTCGACGTACACCGATGGTCTAGAAGTCATGTGGCTACGGGTGCCCGCTGTGTTCACTTGGCAGGCTTTCGCTTGCACAATGGTGCATCATGCTGGTTTGTGATAGGTTAAGATAGAGGAATATAAAGTATTTGTGAAGACTTAGCATAAATTGACTACGGTAGATTAGAGAGCGGATTTGAACCATCAACGTCCGGGAACAGAACGAGGGATATATTCAGTAAAAATTACTCAACAATGTGACTATTCTTATGAGCATATTGCGGTTACTCCTCATGACATATTAGTGACAGCGGTTGGCAATTATGGCACCACAGCTGTTACGCAGGACAACCTGAAAGGATTTGTCGTTATCTTCCTACGTGACATGCCTCAAGTAAGACAAGATTCTGTAAACTCAGTTTCCCATACTCCTAAGTACTCTTAATCTTCCAACAATAGCGCAGCTGTCAAGCTCCGTAGCCTGGCTATATAATGACTGTGTACGGTTTCAGTGAATACTTTAGCAGCATATAGCGGCTTGCTGCATTTGAAATATGTGATGCACACGCTTCGAAATCAGAAAGCCTAGCGTGACTTCTACAACAAATGTATAGAACTGCCTTTTTTTATGCGCTGATATACAAATTACTTGTGTTCGATTCTTTCTCGGTACCGAATTTCTGAAAGCTTCAAATTTTTTTATCGACGCCTTAACTAGAAAATAGAGCGCACGCAGCACTTTCCCATGACAAAATTAAGTCGGCAATGTGCCTCAGTTAAGCTGCTCAGAAATGTGGTATACAGAGACTTATTTGCCGGCAAGTCCTTTCTTTTCACTCATCCAATTAAGGCACCTTCGGTACAAACGTTCCTCATAAGACACGTTAAAGGTTTATTAAATGTCCTAGATGGGCGTGCCTTTTTGGCAGCAGAGAGACGGCAGAATACGATGACGATTCAGTAAAAAATGAACACACACACACACACACATCTATATATATATATATATATATATATATATATATATATATATATATATATATATATATATATATATATATATATAGAAAGGATTATTCAAGATTGAACACACACGCTGAAAAAAAAAGGATATATATCATAGCTCCTGCTGAGGTCGAATTCATTATTTCATCAGCAAACTCCCGTTTCTGTACACCAGACAGCTCCAGTTCTATCCACTCTGAAGACACTTTTTTCACGCAGCAACCCTGAGTGCTAACCTTCTTCTGAATCTGTATTACTTCGAGGCAGCCTAAACAAGAGACATCGACATCGAAACTATTGGGCTGTAGCCTTTTTCCTGTTTCTGCAACGTATACACGCCAGCGTCCTTGCACACACCGGAGTAACGAACGAAAATAAAAATCAATCCACGTACACTGACTTTGCCCCCGCATTCCCGCTCGAACTCTTGCACGAAAATAAAAATCAATCCACGCACACTGACTTTGCCCCCGCATTCCCCCTCGAACTCTTGCGTCCTCAGCTGTCGCAAAGGCGTGGGATTCCACTCGCATTGCGGTCACCGCATGCGCCTGAGTGACGCTTGCTCGCGAACTTAATTACAGTCGCCCACGGCTTCTCCGGCGCCAAAACGCTCGAGTAATCGCAATTCGCCGACGACAGGAACACACACACGCACGTACGGCGTCAGTAGCGAATGGGTGTTTAATGTAGACAAGCAGCCCACTACAACTGGCGATTTGCTAGGCACCGTTCCCATTTCCCGCTCTTCTTGTTCTCTTTCTTCCGAGCGGCATAGGGTTAATGTTGCGAATTCCTTCCTTCGTCAGATCAAGCCATGAGAGAAACAAGGGGAAAAAATGACTGCAGATCGTCAAAGTGGATGCTGGTGATGGAGCAAAGCTCCATTGAAGAAGTGATAAAAAACACATAAAGAATCCTTATGAGAATGTTTTGAGCCAGATGCGGGCTATGTACGCTCTGTAGACGCCATTGCACACATGGTAATGTTTTAAATCATATATGCACGCTATATAAGCTCTGTAGACGGTATTGCGCGCAGATATTTTGCACCTGCGCTTCAACGATGACGAGCTTCGACAACAACGGTCGGAGGGCTTCGGGAGCTTCGCTCCAATAACGATTCCCATTGCAGCTCAACGTCAGTTTTTCGCTATTTGCGGTCGAATTTTCTAAAAAACGTGTACACCACATTATATATGGGATAACGAAAAGGAAAACGTAACTTATTTTTCGTGACCGTTTGTGAAGAGAATGTGGAGACAAAGAAATATTGTACAAGTATAAATCTAAGCGCTGATATCGCGCAACTATACGTGATATCCGAGCTTAAGTACACGCACCTGCACCATCAGGCTGACTACAAGGCAAGGTTAGTATACTGACAACTTATTGTGGATTTACATGTCTGCTGCCAGGAACACACTTAATACGGCATTGATTGTGTGCAATTATGTGCGATATACTTTCATCAAGTTAACTTATAATTGAGGAGTCGTTACGAGAACGAGAAGTTTTCGAGAGTTCACTGTGTTCGGCGTATCATTCATCACTACACATCGAGTGCATATCACGATACGCGAACGAGCGGCCGGCGTGAAGCGCATGTTTGATATTATATGTCGTGCCATTGAACACAGGCACGTGGATGACATCGACCTCTGGAGTGCGGGCGTCTCCGAGTTCGGACTACCGGGCGCCGTGACGGGACCCGTATTCGCCTGCCTCATCGGCGAGCAGTTCGCCAACATCAGGCGCGGAGACCGATTCTGGTACGAGAACCCAGGATGGCCGTCGTCCTTCACGTTAGGTGAGTGAGACCTCTACCGTATCACTCTTCCCACCTTGCATTGTTTCCATGGAGACAGTGCGCGCGCGTACGTGTGTCTTTCAAAGACGTGAAGCAGACCATTGTGGTGGTTGTTGGCTACCTCACTGCATATATATCCCGATTGCCTGGAGCTAAGTCGTAACGGAAGGGGAAAGAACCAATGAAGCAGGACGGTGGAGAGCACATATCTGCGCGACCATAGCTGCGCTATAGATGCACAAAAAGGGCACACTGCGCTGTCGAGTACGGACTGCAACTTTCAGGGGCTGTTGCGTTCGGATTAAACCTGTATGCCCACCAATCAGGCCACACGTTTTCACGAATGAGCGAGAGACAGTGAGATAAAATAAAACTGGGAGGAACGGAGAGGAGAGTCCGGAGGGGCTAACTTGAACCCTACACTCTCTGAAGATACACAGAGGGATGGGGTAAGTATGAGATAGGAATGCGATGAGTCTAGATCAATCACAAGGCACAGCGTTTCTGAAGTTGCTTCTCAAGTGGGTTGCTTACGAACACTGAACTTATTTGAGTTGATGAGAAGAGCAGCGAGGCTCTTGGAACTTATTAGCTTCAGTAGAAGGGCTATACCGTCCTGTTTCTTACCGAGTGCATACAATCCGATCCTGCAGGAGCTTTTGACAATGACGCACAACTGTCGCTTGTTCTTGCAGAGCAACTTTCGGAGATCCGGAAGATGCGGCTGGCACGGTTCATTTGCGACAACGCCGACGACATGTTCGACGTTCAGTACAGCGCGCTCCTCAAGGTGGATCCCGAGACGTAAGTTGACATTATCTTTCGTGTGCACCGAAAAGAGTACGTACGAGACCAGTGACACAATGACAGCTAAGCGTCAGAGAATTAAACTGTCCAACATTTTATACCTATCGAGAAACTTATACTAAGACATAGTGATGACATTTAAGCACCAACAAATGGAGATATCAAGCAGTTTACACCTTCATGACATTAACACCATAAAATTCAAGGATATCATTCGTGCCTTGATAATGCTGCGCGTTATAAACAAAGCAACGAAAACTGCAGTTTTTGCACCAAATTGTTGCTTGTATAACACATTTTATAGGCTTATAAGCCAGACTGAACCGAACATGTGGTATGCAAATCACCAACTTAAGCTTCTCTGACCCATTATATAACTCTGATTACAGGAACCCGAGGTTCAGCTGCAACCAGTTCGACGTCCTGCCCAGAATGGACTTCAGCAAGTGGAAAGACACGTCGTACCTAAAGAAATAACCGCTGACACTAACACGATTCCACTTTTTTTATTATTGAAAGCGAACTGCGCGAGAAAAAAACGAACAGCGGGAAAAACCACTTGTCGCATCCTCTGCCCCCGCACAAACACACACATCCAACGAAACAGAAAACTGTCAGAGTTTGTCGCTGCCGCCGCAATGCTATGCGATGTCACGCGTTATCATGCACCATGCCGTAGAGTAGGCATCAGCAGCCATTACATGTTCAGTGCCTATCATGTGCGGTACACACGCACCCGCTTGTAGAAGCATTGACAGTGTTCTTAGCGTGGCAGAGATGATGTCAATGTTTGTTCCCCGATGACGTCACCATGTAAGGGCAGGCGCTGCAATTTATGAAGGCAGAGGATGCGACATCTCGCTGCGTAGTTCTCTGTGGTGTTTAAAGATGTCTGGATTCAGAGCGTCTAGCGTTTTCTTGGGGATGTACAAAGGTGACGCGAGAATGTATTTTGTCTCGGACTCGTGTTGCGCTGCATGAAAATATCTAGAAACATGACGTTAGATCTTACGTTAGTAGCGCATTTATTTTTAGGGAGTCATAAAGCTGTATTAGCAGAAGCGGTGTACTTAATGTATCATCTTTAAAATACGCGCAGCTTGTATCTTTTAATAACGTTTTCTTTAGTGCCATAGCGTTTTTAAAACAGAGTGGAGCATCTTCAGAAATGCGAACACGCCACAATGGGTATGCTGTGCTCGCATCAATCACAGCCTGTACGAGCAATGCACCATTGGCGTATTAGTATTTCTGACTGCTTCAAAATCTTATAAAGTAACGTGTTTATTCTTTTTCGATTTTTTTTACGTCGCGCATTTAACGTCCCCGAAACTTCAGACAGGTGGCAAGTGTATGCGAGCACACTCGCACAAGAGTATTAGAACTTTTTAATGTACATGAGGGGGGGGGGGAGGTCAAAAGTTCCCAGGCCACTATCCCATTCCCATATATTCCTGTGGGAGTGTGGCCTGGGAAATTTTGCCCTCCCCCCCTTTACATTGCTTGTTAAATTCGACCATGTCCACATATAAGATTCGCCTGTGACCTAACGGATCCGCCATTTCGTCTATGTCCGGTTGTTGAATGTTTAAAGATCCACGGCGGAAATTATCATGGAGTGTTCGCGTGTTCTCTGCTTGTCATGAACAGGGATGAACATTCAACAGTATGTCGTTTACCAGAAAGGTTTGTCTGAAACATGTGGAATTATAAACAGCCCTTTCGTATTGAAATAGAGTCCACAACAAGCAAAGCGAAACTATGCGTATAGCCAAACTACAGCTTCGATAAGGCACGATGAGTGAGTGCTGCTTTTACGAGTTAAGAGACATGGTAACTATAGCCTCAACATCACTGTCTATTGCCTTCTAGGTGCACTGTTCACGTACTTTCGCCCTCCCTTGTGTACGGCGGACCGCCACACAGATTCCCCCTTGTGGGCTCTCTTTTGTACATACGGTTCACTACTACGCACTTTCGGCGACTACGACCACAGGGCAGCTCATACGTCACGGATACGTCGGTCAAAGTGCACTTGCGCCCACTATGTATCCCCCGCCTTGGGGCTGGGTTACCACTTACCTCTTAAGCGAAACGGCGCCTCAGTTACCCAAGGAAGCTCTCTCAAGCGATACGACTCTGCGCATGTACCGGTTGACGCATGCGCAGTGCAGCTGTGAGAGCTTCTATGCTAGTAAGATAGTTAGGAGTCTGCCACTGTTACCCACACTGGTGTCCTGCACAGGCGTAGTGCCATGGCTCATGTACAGACATGTCTCAGCCATCCGCAAGGAAAACGTGCTTATATGTGGTACGCACACATATAACGGTGGCTGCAGCCTAAAGGTGGCCACAGGTGAAGTCCGCCATCTTGTGTCCTGAGAGCCAATCAGAAAAGGCAGAATTCGCTGGCGGCAAATCGCCGGGAGCAAGGCCCCGAAGCTGAGATTAAATGGTCGTAAAAAAACTAGAGTAAGCAATACGGCCCCGATTCACAATTGCATAGAGCAGCTGGTCACGCTATTTTTAATTGCAGCCACTGTAGAACAGCTTCGCAGAGCTACGTGCAATAGCATCGAAACCACCACCGAATTCTAACAGGGCAGGGGATCTGGTCTGTTAGAATTCTGTGGTCTGGTGTCACCCTCTAATGAAGTCTCAAATTCGCAAGGGTGTCCTGGAGTTGATGTCTTCCTTTGTCCTATTGTCTTTTTTTCTTCCTTTCTCTTCTTGCCTACAAACACAGTGTGCAGTACTACGAACGATAACCTTTGAAGAATTCCAGAGACTTTGGATACCACTGCCATATATACTTTCAAATGCTTGCCAAGAGAGCTAAATCTATGAGTGATGCCTAGTAGCTTTAACTTAGCAAAGGCTTACCTAACTGATGCTCAAAGCCCTGCATGCTTTTGAAATAATACAGAAAAACAGAATTCGTTAGAATGAAAAACTCACCTGTGCCATACCAGCAAAGCGCATTGAAGTCCCCAAGCGTGCAAGTCGGAATTTCTTGGGTCAATGGGAAGGTGAAAACAGTTATTAGGGGTAACACTTAAGTTTTTTTCTTTCTGAATATCATAGTGGTTTTAGTAGGCTTAAAGTGACATGAGTTGGCAAAACACAACTAGTATGCAATGGACGCATCATGATACGAGGTCGCCATTCTTGCCTATAAAGAGAGAGAGAATAAAATGAGGGAAAGGCAGGGAGGTTAACCAGAAATTGGTAGCATCCGGTTTGCTACCCTGCACTAAGAAGGGAAAGAAAGATGAGAAAGAAAGCAAAGAGCGAAATAGACGCACGAAAAAGAAAAAGAGAAGGCAGTACGGACAAAGGTTCGAAAACCACACTTCGCGACTCCCTTGACACTATCTATCATGCCCTCAACAACCACTTTAACGAAAATTAGACTATCGTTCATTGCATTGGAATCAGAGACCAGAATAGCACGATAAGAGGGCTGCAAGCAAAAAGAGAACCAGTCTGCAGCTTGAAAAACCTTTGTCTTAAGACAGCGACGTGGGAGCAAGGTAATGATTAACAGCTGCATGTAAAAAACTTGGCGACACAATGTCCTCATCAGTAATGACTACAGACAGTGCTGAGACCAATCAAATGCCATTACTTTCTTTTTTTACACTCAAGATTTTTTTAAAGGTTGCACACGTAGGACGCAAGCGTACAAGTTTTTTTTTTCTCCTTCGGCACCACCTGCCTTTGTAAATACTTCCCAGTCTCCTCCCTCCCTCGTCTATGATATTTATATGTGACACCCCTTAGGAGGTCAACGGGCTTCGTAGAGCACCAATGACAGTGTAGGGCGCTATCGCGGTACGAAACTGCATTCAGCGTCGTGCTTTTTCGGTGAAGAACAAACTTCCCAGTTTCAGCACTTTCAGCATGCAAGACATTTTGGGTTTATTAGAGACTAAAGTGCCTTTGAATGCCTCATTTGAAAGATACCTTGGTACCATTCTTGTAGAAGAAAAAAAAAAGTGCTAGCTTCATTTCCCACGAGGCACATGAGCCAAGATTTTGTGGCTATCATGCTACCTCTTAATAACTAGCAAACATTTTTTTTTCCGTGCTACTGCAACGCAAATCTGGTGAACATTGTTAAGAGGCGACGGGTACCAATGGCTGTGTGAAGTCCGTAGCCCAAAAGGGTCAAATGTGTTTTCTTTTCTTCCCGTTTCTATATATACCTCTTGACTTTTCGACACAGTAAAAATATTTTATGTGAGTGAGACAGCGAGCGAACGCTTTGAAATGATACACACGCAACTTTTTTTTATCTGTATGAGAAGTGTGCAACTTTTGTTAACTAACTTCTGAATAAAAAAAAATGTTGGTTTTTCATTATTCGCCATGTTGCCTGTCTCCTTTACTGTGTACTGCAGAAATTACTTACTAAATATACAAAATTATTTGAATGCTATCGTGACGAAATCTGCCATCATCCACTAAGCTTAATTTTTTTACAATACTGATACCCAGAAGTGTAGAAGCTTGGGCTAGTTGGTGCACATATATTAAAAAGCTGAAAATTAGATTATGAAAATTATATATGCTGCCTAATTATACTTCTGTTATCTGTCTTCTCATAAATGTGTGGTATACTTCCAATGTGTGGTACCTTCCAAGATGGGCTTTCATCAAAGTTTGACACGTGTGGGAAAGTTACTCTCTTGGCTAAAAGCTTGTTCAATCAAGGCATTCACATTTCAATAGCCCGAAAACTCCTTTACAATGCATTAATTGGCTGAAGTACCTGCAACTACAGCAATAACAGAGAAATAGGCAACCATTACAGATATCCTTGACGCATTACATGCAATAGCACGTAAGCCTATGCTGGGGAAGGTCAAGTATAGTAGCACGCTGCGCTAGTGCTAGGAAATGCCATGTATGCAGGCAGTTTCTGAATCTGAGAAAGAAAATTATTGCTTTGTAAGAAATATTACACCATTTTTCCAGCAGTGCCAAGGCTACAAAAGTTAACATTATGTCAGTTTCACCTAAAGTTGAAGAACATAACAGCAAGGTTCTGGCAATATGTGGAGGCGACATACAGAGCACGAAGGTGGGTCCATTTGGCTTAGTCATTCTTGCAGTGCAGCGCATGCCTTGAGGCATTGTAACCTTCTGACAGCTGGCCACCAGGACAGTGCTTTCATTACAAGGACAGCTACACCACAGTATTTAGTGTTGGTATACAGTGCATGAATGTTTTAGGTAAAATATACTTTTTATTGAAATATTATGAGAGTAAGGTGCTTGTTTTCGCAGCTCAAACTTCATGTCAAGGCAGAAATATTTTCCCGCATTTAAAATGAGTGTTGAGAATAACAAAGTTTCGTCACTTCCCTCTCTAGTGTCATCCCGGCGCCCCACCATGCTTTGAGCGTGTTAGGCGCGATCAGTTTCGATTTCAACCTTAAATTTCTATGACAAATATCTCAAACTACGTGAAACTTTTCCAACTTTTAAAAAAAAGAAAAAAAGGTATGCCATTAGTTGGCATACCTTTTAGCCATTAGTTGGCATACACAACTTTGTGATATCAGCACCTGCCCTCAGGCTAATAATTAAAATTAATGAGTTTTTCTGTATTACTGACATAATCATCAGTTTATCTGCGGAAAAGTATTTCCGCTTCGACATATAGTTCATGCGCGAGAACGACAGGAGCTCGACTACGACATAATTTTTACAAAAGAATCTGTATTATCTAAAAAGCTAAAAAGAAAACACCATGATAATAAATGCAGTCACAATAAAATATCTGCGAAGCTTTCTTAACATTCAACTGAGCAGCAACCCCTTTGAGACAGAATTCAAAATGTCTCTGCAACTGAAAAGCAAACGAAGTGAGCGCTCAAGTATCTAAAAAATAATTTATTAGCCCTCATTTGTTCCCTGGTTTCAGCATCCCAAATATTTTGTTTCCCCGCACATGGGCAGCGAGGTCTTGCATGCACGATACAATATAAGTGTCCCGTTCCGACTTTCGTGACACATAGATGGCCACCATTGTCACACGTGGATCCAGCTTGACCAGGAAATAACTCTTCTCCATTCTCTGCCAGAAAGCAATAGAGCGAGATGCACCAAAGTTGATCAGCCCATTACAGTGATAAAACAAGCAATCTACTTTCTCATTGTAGCAGTAGCTGGTATAGTTTCATGTTCCAAAACCACAACATGATTACGAGAGACACCGTAGTGGAGGGCTGGTGAAATTTCGACCATCTGGTGTTCTTTAACGTGCACTGACATCGTACAGTACATGGGCCTCGACCATTTTGCCTCCATCGAAATGTGACTGCCGTGGCCGGGATCGAACCCACGACCTTAGGGTCGGCAGCTCCCTAGCCACTGATCCACCAAGGCGGACATTTCCTCATTCTACAGATGAACCCTTTATAAGAGACATGCACTGTGGGGTCTCGGCGAGGCGAACGCGCGCACCGCCACGCCACGCTCTCGGAGTGAACGGACACAGTGAACACGGTCGGTACCAAGCACACCACATACATACATTTATTAACTAAGTTAAACGAGGACATTGTCCGCCGAGGATACACCCATTTCAACTAACACGCTACCATACAAACAACATAACCCAGTGACACACTAAACACACAATAACATGATAAAACACACACTAACACACTCAACACACTAGCACATACCCAAGACGGCGTCGCCAACGCCTGACTCTCCACGTGGGACCCCGGCGCGAAGCCCGCGGTGCCGAGCACCGGGAGCCCACGCTACAGACAACCGTTCGCGGCAGCCGCCACGCGCAGAAGAGGCTCGCTCAACGCTCGCCCACCGCCAAGGCCTGCCTTCCACCAGGGGCCACTGCCGGCGCTACCGCTCTACCAACAGTGGTACTCAAAGCGAACACAACGCCATCTATCGCCCGGCGGTGGTCACCACCGAAATGAAGCCTTGGGACGAGACACGTGCGCCACGCGGCGCAGACAACTTTACAGGGGGGGGGGTGTCAGCACCCCCACATTCCCCCAACCTTAAATCAAACCATACCCCGAAATCAAAAAATAGCTACACAAGCTTTAACAAAAAAATAATAACGCACGACCACAATGTCCTTGCACCACGACACCGCCGCCGGTCGACACTGCTGCACTGTCCGGCTAGACTTCACCTCAGTACCGGCCCCGCAACAGCAACGTTGCCGTCGGCGCGACGATCTGCCGTCGGCGCGACACGTCTTCCAGTTGCGACCAGCACTCGCGAGGGCGCCGGACTGCAGGCAGTTGCGCAGGTCCCAGGCATCTCCATCGCCCGACCTCACGACCGCATTCGTGGCCAGCGACGCTGACTATGTGCAGGACAGCCGGCCGTGGATGACATCCCTCCCGCCGAATACATCAATAACAACAACAACAAAAACTTGAAAGAAAACAATCGAGCAGGTCTTCGGGAAGGGAGCTTCGAGCTTTTCGTCCACGTGGTACGGTGGTCAGTACTGCTAGCTAATACATCGGTGGCGGCCGAGACGCCCATCAAAATAAAACAAAAATCACTTTTCCTAACTCGTGCTCACAAGAAAAAAAAGTGAGGGAAGCAGAGCGCAACACCTCAACGCTACGATCCACCTAGTTGTGCCACGTGCGACAGGCGGCTGCGCAGAGCCTTAGGCCTAATGAGTCGCTCGGCAACAACCGGCATCCACCCAGCACCCAGCCTAGGCGCAGAAGAGGCAGCCGCGAGGAGACGTCCACTCTGTGAGGTGGCCCTATCGCTCGCCGCACACAGCAGCTTACCGAGCGACCGGCGTCTACCGCCCCGGGCGGTGTCACGACGCCTCGGCGTCGAGCCGCAATACAAGTCAGCAACAACGCCCGGCTCCCTGAGCCCAAAGATATAGAAGAAGCTATTTACAGAAAATCGGACCACCCACGAGGCTTCCGTACTCACTCGCTTCGGGCCTGGCCTACAAACCACGTGCTCTAGGCCTTGCTCACCCCAGGATGCGGACCGCATGGCTCTCGTCCTAATTCAACAACGTTTTTGAAAACTAACAACAAAAAAATAAGAACACTTGCGAGCAAAAAAAAAAATAGAAAGTCAACCTGCCGACAAATTGAAACACGTTACAAAACCAATCCCCTCGCTTCTCAACAAAGCACACCACCGACGCCAGCAAAGAAGTCCCCCCCTAGGCCTACTCTACTCCGGCTCTAACAAAATCCCTGTACCGAACCGCAAAAACTGTCGTCCGATACTCCAAGAGCTCCACGTTGGGCAGCCAGTGTGGGGTCTCGGCGAGGCGAACGCGCGCACCGCCACGCCACGCTCTTGGAGTGAACGGACACAGTTGACACGATCGGTACCAAGCACACCACATACATACATTTATTAACTAAGTTAAACGAGGACATTGTCCGCCGAGGATACACCCATTTCAACTAACACGCTACCATACAAACAACATAACCCAGTGACACACTAAACACACAATAACATGATAAACACACACTAACACACTCAACACACTAGCACATACCCAAGACGGCGTCGCCAACGCCTGACTTTCCACGTGGGACCCCGGCGCGAAGCCCGCGGTGCCGAGCACCGGGAGCCCACGCTACAGACAACCGTTCGCGGCAGCCGCCACGCGCAGAAGAGGCTCGCTCAACGCTCGCCCACCGCCAAGGCCTGCCTTCCACCAGGGGCCACTGCCGGCGCTACCGCTCTACCAACAGTGGTACTCAAAGCGAACACAACGCCATCTATCGTCCGGCGGTGGTCACCACCGAAATGAAGCCTTGGGACGAGACACGTGCGCCACGCGGCGCAGACAACTTTACAGGGGGGGGGGGTGTCAGCACCCCCACAGCACTGAGGAGCCATTCTTGTCCCTTAGGTGAGGTGCCTCTTATAAAGCAGGGTACCATGTATACATTTGTTTATCAACCCATATTTTTATGCAGGCACACTAGTGTGTCTCATAACCATTCGTCTCTTACATTACTTTCACTTATAAAGGGGTGTAACCATATTATTTCGATATATTTAACTAGCTGCAAAATATATACAACCCAACCCAAAGCAATATCCATTCTCGTATAATATCAGCACGAGAGAAAATATCAATATGACACCCCTGTCAGATTCCCTGATGTTTTCAAATGCGTGAACGCTGCTAAAGCTGTGTAAAGGTACATCTAGTATTAGAGTGAACAAGTTGTAGTTATCTCCTATTAAATTCAATGCTGCCTGAGGACCTCTGGAAGCAGACTTCCATACCCACTACATGTACAAGAAGCAAGAATGAAAAAAAAAAAAGAAGAAAGAAAATCGTTAATATTTGCCTTCTGTAACATGCTCGAAAATTTCAGAGCAGTTCTTTCTACTCCACAGTTATTGATTATATTGGTTTAAATTAAAGCATAGTATTCTGAATATACTGTCTACAATGACTTGTAACAGATTTTTAGTTTTCCACATTTACATGATATGCCTCCACTAGCATAGTTAGGGCACATTATAACACTGCTTTACATAGTGTGCAGTGTACTCTGTTACGAGCAGCTAACATCACAAATCCGACATTTCACAGCAATATAGGAACAAACATTGCCATCAGACCTCTATATAATGAACCTCTACTTAAAGGGTTACTGAGGCAAATATTATGGCATGGTGTTTCCTTGCTGCACTATGTTGCTGAAGGCCTATCGTCGTAACACGGCACATAGCTTGCTACATTGCGCGAGAGGTGATGGACCACAGCCTGTTTACCACTGACCAGTATCAGTTTATATTCGGGAGAGCTTCCGAAAAATACAAGCCACCATGTGCAGCTAATGCCATCTAGCATGTGAAACAACACGCAGCTTTGCGACGCACTTCCGCGTTGCCTGCACAATCTGCTTGCCTTGTTTCACACGCCGCATGTGCAGCAAGAAGTCATTGCCATTGTCATCATCAACATCACTCAGCGGCAAAGACCTTCACCACGATCACCACAAGCGTGGACTCACGAGCAGCCGCCAAGTGTAGTCTGCTAGCAGGCGCGGCATAAGCACAGAGGCGACTATGACATCATGATTTAGCTGACACCTCAGAGCTTGGCCACAGTGGTGATGTTGGAATAGTTTGGGGTCCACTTTATTTATTACAATTTCAACTTCATAAGGTGCATATGGTGCCATTTTGAGCTTGCACACTTCAAAATTTATGTAAATTACTTTGGAAGCTGTATTCGCTTGTCCAGATTGGTAGATGACATACACATGTCCATGATAATCAATTCCGCAAGTTCTCTAAGCAGCAAAATTTTGTGTCCCCACCTCTTTTAACAAAATCTGATATATAATAAACCTTTCTCTTTTTGTCTTAGCTCTGCTAAAAATCACATATTTTTCTTTTGTGCACTGTGCCACAAAACATGTTGCACACCATCATTTGTAGAGGTTGACTGAGCAACGACAACTTCGGCAGCTTGTAGAAATAATAGGCTTGTGTGAATATTAAAATACTTGAAATATTTCAAAGAATGATACAGAATTCAAATTCAATTCAATTTGAATCTAAATCATTGAAAATTTCAAAGTATTTACAATGAACGAATACGTGCATATTAATTCGCATGTAATCCTTTGTAAAACTGGATTCCTTGAAGTGTAGGATAGCTAAGCTGTGATAGCACCTGTCGAAATATACAATTCGCACGTAACTCTCTACAAAGATAACTTCACTGCAGTAAAGGGGTGCTAAATCGTGAAGGCATCTATAAAAAAAATCCGCACTGCCGCGTAGCCTTACTTTAAGGTTAAATGAACATATATATAACCATCAAATCAATTAATCATTTTTTAAGTTTAAATGCTTCTTATGCCAGCTTATATGCTCTAAATACAGTACATTTTAAAGCATTACATATTTTACAGATTATCAATAACATTCTACCAAAAGTCAAATCTTGATGCTATTCAATGTTGCTTAGATTTTGTTTTAATAAAAAAAATGGCACTTGCACAAAGATTTTCTTTCAATTTTTAAAAATATAGTGTGCAGGTCAGTTAGGTCAAGATAATATGCCCACTTTTCTTACATGTCATACATACCATTCGAAATTGATTCTAAATTATTACACCAAGAGCATGTTCACTTTAAACTTGCTTCAAACCTGGAATTCACTATTCGCACAAGCCTAATAAACAAAAATTGCAAGTTTACGAAGACATGGCTGTCACTGATGAACACCTGAATATTACTTATTATCAATTATTATGCTGCAATAAGCATCTGCAAATATTTGTTTGCCAATTCAAGAAATGTAGTCCTATTTTAAACATATCGCACACTTACAATGGTGATTACACCAACACATCGTTCTGCTGTTTATTCCCGATACTTCATTGTGCAATGTCAGAAGAAAACCTCAGTGTAAGACACAACACAGCAACTGCGCATATGCCTACAACACAGCAAGAGTTATGGCATGGTGTGAACCTATAGTAGGCAATGCACTGCACACAAATCACTTGTGATAAGACGGTAAGTTGGGCCAGTTGGTTAGGATCTATCGTGAACTTACTTACAGTGCAACACCAGAAAAAATACAGGACAGGGAAGAAGCAAAACAGAAAGAAAAGACGGCTCCTTCCCTGTCCTGTATTTTTTCTGGTGTTGTGGTGTAAGTAAGTTCACTTGTGATCATTGGCAGCACACGACTGAAGATACCTTGTTTTAAAAAGACAGTGCCCGATTCCACTCGGCAGCAGATTGCTCTACGAATGCACACATAATTACCAGCGAAAGCCAGGTGAGCCATCTACTCTGTTGTAATGTTGCCTGCCATAGATTCTAAAGACTTTATTATCGCTACAGCGTACTATCACACAGTCCTGAGGGACTGCCTGCAATGTTCCCTCAACTTTGAGTTCCGTCTGAGCTCTCCTGGCGAGCCACCGTGTTATTGTGCTTTTTTTTTTCCAGCCACCACGCTAAGGCCATGTTATGTATCTACCAGAAGTGTTCTAAGAACTTGTGAGATCATTTATACAGTAGAGACACACAAACTTAACTTCACAAGATTTGTAACACTACCAAGTATCTTACTACAAGTAGTTACACTGAGGTCTGACTGCGTTCACTCGGTCTGATATTCCTTATCAAATGCAGTTCTATCCTTATTCCACTCTGACCCATTAACATACCTTTCTGGCACAGCACTTTACTGCTTGTACTGCCCACCCACCAGTTCGTGCCATAGTATTTTTTCTAGTGATTCTTTACACCGAAGAAAGTACAAGATACTTTATGTGACTCGCGTCATAAAGCATAAATATTCAACTGGGCAAGTACATTCTCTCAGCTCAAGTGTCGTAGCATTTTACTGAAAGAATCACTAAAAGCTCGAAAATTCATTTGCCTTACTCCACTCATGCCATACATATAGCAGATGTGGTTATCAGCATATTCCTATGATTGTCTAATTACAGCATATAACCTCTCAGTTTTCAAAACATTTCTAGAACCTCAGCTTCAGCCTAACTATGAAGTGAAGAAAAACAAACTGTTCACATACCTCCTTAATGGAGAATCAAAGTTGTTTCTTCATAAAAAGTGCTACTCTTAATTGGTAAAGGAAAAAGAGTACTCGCTTAAATATGCTGATTGACGAGTCTACATGTGCACAGAAGGTTGTCAAATTAAGTGACATTGGCTATGCTACCCTAAAAAATGCAACCTAACTTGGCCATGTGTAACTGTTTTTGTTGCACTTATTTTAGTCATGAAGAAAAATGCACCTATTCAACATGATTCAAGACACAGTAGAACCTTGTTAAATGGAACCTGAAAGAACTGGGAAAACATGCTCCATTTAACAAGAGTTACATTTACTGAGTGAGTACAGGGGTGCAGAAACGCATACTACTTAAAAAACCAGTGCAAACATAATACATCTCTAATAATACGCCCATCCAGGATTGCCAGGTTTGACCACTTTGCGCTGATTTGGCTACTTTTTGAGGTCGGTGGCAGCATAAAAAATGTTGGATAGCATTTGCTACTTTGCATTCTGTATATATATATTTTTTGCAGAATATAGATATCTCTAAACTTTTCAGCCACTGGCGTTCGAGTACATGGTGTCAAAACATGGTGGTCATTGCGCATTCTAAGCTTCCAACATTGAATTTGATGCTTGGAGTACAAAAACGCTTCCGACATGTGGATGACACTGAGAAAGCACAGTAGCTCATGGTCCGAGTTTTCACGCCACATGCTGCCAAAATGCAACACTGAACAGCAACTTTCGAAGCAAAAAAGACAAAATTGGACCCCCCCCCCCACTTCATATTACAGGTGCTCTGCTCTCAACATTATAAGTCAGATAACCAGAGAACTGCTTCTGTTGATTTTTAGGATGAAGTTTGGACTGCGACAAAAGAATTTTGGTTGTCATCCCACAAGAAATATTGTGAATGTGAAGACTACAATTCATGCTTGTCCACCGGCCCTCATTACTTCAGGTGTACCAAACCGTATTTATTTTTGTCGTCGCCAAATGCCCACTACTTCTGGTACATTCAACAAATCACACAAAATGCGCGAAAAGTGTCACTTTCGCAACAGGGCAAAATAGTTCATCACTACACACAATATGATAGGTAAAGTGAACAGTCCTTAACTAAGCAGTTCCGACTTTATTTGCTTTAAATACTGCACTTATTTAAATTTATACTAGAAGCCTGTAGATGTTTTAGTGAAAATTTCATAGCTGTTTTCCCAGAAGTATTTCTCCTTTTGGCCAATTCTGCTGCTCTTGACTCGAATTGACTACTTTATAGATAGTTTTCATAATTTTTTGGCAACATTTTTCAATCTGGAAACCCTGTACACAACTTGCCCTTATCTCTATTTCACTGCAGAATTGAAGTATCAAACCAACCATTTTAGACTTAGCAGCTCCATTTAATCAGAAATTCTGTTCAAGCAAGTTTCGTTTACTAAGAGTCTACTTACCTTTATTCTGTGATACTACGCCTAGAGCAATAAAAGCTTTTTTCTCTTATCTCGTTGATTGATATGTGGGGTCTAACGTCCCAAAACCACTATATGATTTTAAGAGATGCCGTAGTGGAGGGCTCCGGAAATTTCGAGCGCCTGGGGTTCTTTAACGTGCACCCAAATCTGAGTACACGAGCCTACAACATTTCCGCCTCCATCGGAAATGCAGCCGCCGCAACCGGGATTCGATTCCGCGACCGGCGGGTCAGCAGCCGAGTACCTTAGCCACTAGACCACTGCGACGGGCGTTCTCTTATCTCATGACATTATAGCATAGAGAAACACACACACAGAATCAAACGGAGTACTATTCTCTGTTCTTGTACACACACAGATTATTGTGTAACCGGATTAATCCTCAGCAACGTTGACCCCTTCAAGAGACTTGCACTACTGTATGAATCAATCTGTTGACATAAGGCTTTGAAGAAAATGACTACGGAGAACTGTCCTTACACTTTACCTGCATAAATTTTCTATAATTAGTCTGGCCGTCTTATATGTGACTAGTAGAATTCAGCGAGCCATTTATTTATATGTCTCACATGTACACTCATACATGTGCATCTAGTGACAATATAAAGTTACGTAAACTCACAGCTTGCTGAAGGTTCAAAAACACCAAGAGAAAGAAAGAAATGGAAGATCGCCATCACTCACCGAATCATAGAAATACACGATCCCCTCAGAATTGAGATCATCAGACTTCTTTGTGATGATCATTATAATGTTAGGTCTGTGTTGCTTGTCTTGGTATATCTGAAAGCAACGAAATCAGAGAAGCGTGCTGCTGACTGACGTCTGAGGACAAATGACTTCTGAAAAGCAGGAAACAAATTTCTCTACCTAGTATTTCACATCATGCCTTAAAGAACAAATGGCTATGTGAGATCGCACTCAGTAAGAAAAAAATAAACAAGCAGGCTCACGCAACTTTGCACTATCGCAACCCAATATCTGGTGCAAAAATTTTTACTGTAAAGTATGTAAAGGACTTCATTCACTTCTATAGTTATTTGTGGTGGCAACGTCACCCTACAGCGACAGGTGTGTCTGTCCGAGCTATCACTCACATTAGGAAAACAACATCACAGTTCTCAAGATAGTTGCTTGTTGAGTTTGTATGTACACTCAAATATCAATATAATGAACAAGGATATAAAGAAATATCAGTTGTAGCAAAGTAAATGAAAAACAGTCTTGCAGTAGCTAGTGCTAGAAACCTTTAATACCACTTTTTCGACACAACAGGACTTATTTTCGTGTAAGATGCAACTTTTTATAATGAGGCTTGAGTGTAGTTACATTAGAAAAAAAAACCATTAGACCTGTGAAAAAAGTTCTTACTCTTTGCTGGAGTGACACCAAGGCACTCTACATGCACGTCAACTACTTCACCACAAAATTGCACCAGTGCCTGCAAGCTGCTCCAGATAATAACCATTTAGAAGTGTTCTGTTAAGTAAGGAGCCACTTGTGCAGCCGTGAAGATGAACACCTTGTGTTGCAGTTGTGTGGTATTGCACCATGTAATCTGAATAGCATATGTGTGGGTGCTTTTAAGCTGGCCACCCATCATGAAGCCGCAGACTTCTACAAGAGGCTTAAAAAATTTATTCGAGATAAGTTACTGAGAACTGCTAGAAGAAAGTATTCATTGTAAAGCACTGTTCCTGTATGCCAGAAAAGCTTCAACAGTGAGACAGCTTTCAGTAGAATGAAGCACCAAAAGCATCAGTATCATGTTGAGACATTTTTCCCAAGGAAGGTATAGACGAGACAACAAAGCAGTGTTGTCCATCTATCACATCTTCTGGCTCGTTAATTGACATAATATATATTGTTAAATATCTTTTTTAGCAGAAATTTTGGTGTCTGCATTTGTGTCGGCATCATTGGTTGCGAGCGAAAAACCAGCACTGTCCTCGAGTGAAAATACTTCAGCAAATAAAAATAATAAAGAACTTCAATTTAAGGATACGGGATCCAGCACATCTGCATGGCAAACAACTGTTCTACCACAAAGCCACACCCATGCTTGAAACAGTAACGAAAAACACCATATGAGAATGCCATGTGATGTGATGGTCCTTCTTAATGCATGTACTACTGTACGGCAGAAGCGTAAAATTGCAACAGATTGAATGAGTGTGCAGGTACTCATTTACGCGTGTTGCCTCATGACCGCGTAGTGGGCCGTTAAGTTCACCCTTTTGCAAAAACAATAACTATAGAATAGCGAGCACGTCACAACTACACTTGCAGTAGGCATTCTAGGATAGTTTAAAACAGCTTATTTTATGTACACAGACACTCCTTTCCTTGCGACATGGTGGAGATGTCTACCGAGAATCGAAGCCAGGCTAGCGATTGAGAAGGCTATGCGAACAGGGCCCAACTGCACTATCGCGTTCTACACTTCAAAGGGAACCTCGCAAGTGCCCACCCAGTTTCTTTCAATTCAGATATTTCTCCCAATTCCAAGAGGCCTTCAATCTATGCCAGCAAGGTCAATCATGGGGGTTCTGCATGGGGGTTCTCATGCATTTGTGAAAACTAGGCCTGTTGCTTCTGGGATTTTGCACTGCTAAAACATCAAGAAGACGCACAATAGCATTCTGTGCTACCCATCAAATAAAATGATTTCAAACCTGGAGGAGACAGTAAAATACTAGTTTGATATAGTATCAATAATTTGAAATATGCCCACTTACATGAAAATTCTTCACATCAGTGATAGTTCCTTGTGATCGTGAAAAGCAGGAATTTTCTAGTAGTTTTGCTACGTCGAATGCGCAAAATATTCTACTACTATTTATTTTCATCTACCCTTTCTTTTGAAGGGCCCTCGTTGGACGCAGTTAAATTTAGCATTTTTGGAGTATGCGATTGTTCTTTTTCTAATAACAAGTGGCAGCAGATATCTGTTTTACATCAGTAGCCCTACCTGTGTCTATAGCATAATAAAGCAACAGAAGTTGGTGGCCAGGCAGCCAGAGCCATGGCTAGAGATAAGGTGCGACACAAACAAAATCCTCCACATCATTCAACAGTTTTGGACTTTACAGCTGTTAGCCCAACAGACAATGCTTGGTTCCACAGCATGCATGTAAGCTGTCATGTACAAATTCAATATTATGATAATTACTAGATTAGTTTTGTCTCACACTAGTATTTTTCACCACATTGCAAGGCCTTGCCCCAGTGAAACTTACTAAAACCAATCCTTGCTGTTGTGACGTCCCCGCAAACACGGACTGAACCCCAGTCCTTTCAAGATGTTTTCGCTTGTTTCTTAAAGCCACGCATAAAAAAAAGGAAAAGAAAACCTTCAGTGTAACGAATGGGCAATCCGGAGTGGAGTACCTGGAAGGATTATTTCTACTGTTCTCGCGGTTCCCCCCCCCCCCCCCGCAAACACGAGGACCGGGCGGCGCCATGTTGTCTACAGACTTTGTGACAGTGTACCGTGGCCATAACACGCGCGCACCCTTCAGATTTGTGGCATGGGGAGCAGCAGAGCACCTTTTGTTGGTTCGGGTGTGCCGGTTCCAGTCTGACTTTCCGTCAGCCTCCGTGGCTCCAGGGCTCATTACTGCGTTCTGCGCGGGTGGCCACCCGCGGCATTGAATGGCGAAGAAGCGGCGGCTACAGAGAATTTGGCGGGAGACACCGAGCTGCATGGAGACGTCGAGACTCGTTCTGGACATTGGCTCATCAAGTACCAGAAACCGGGACAATTGGTTCGGCCGAAAACATTTTGGCACAACATTGCAAACTCCGGACGTTGGCCATTATAGACGACGCACTTTGTCGGAAGCCAATTGCGCCATGGAGACTGGCTTTGTCGGAAGCATCGGGACCATTGTTCGCCCGTAATTAAAGTGTCTTGGGACAGCTCGCCCATCTCTCTCTCTGAGGCTTGAGTTTGTACATTGTTACTTGCTTGGCTTTGTTTGGGAGAGGGTTTTCTACTGGTGTGGGCCGCGGGAGCGGCCGTCGAAGACGACACACTCCGACTGACAAGAAAATATGCCGTGTCGATAGTGGCGATTGGTTTGGTGCCCCGGTAGGGTGGAGTCGGGTCCTACAAAAAGGAACTACGAGACGATACGAAGGGAGTCAGAGATACGATGCGATGAGCTCGAGACGGTAGAGAGACGGAATGGAAAAGGAAGATAACGGTGCGAAGAGATAGCGATGAGAGGCGATGAGATGATGACTGGGGCAAGGACGGTACGATGAGGAATGAAAGTTAGGGATAGGAGGCGAGTGAATGGAGCGTTACGAAAGAGGGCCAAGATGGAAATCACTGAGAGGCACGACGTAGACGACGATGACGAAGACGATGAAGACGCTGAGGAATTGGACAGATCAGACCTCGACGCCAAGAACCAACCTTGGGCCCCGACTCGAGCAGCCAACTCCGAGGCCCCGTCAACATGGACCTTTCGTGAGACGGACTTTATGAACCTTATTTAGATTAGCTTTGCGGGAAGGGATGCGGCATATTGAGACATTGCGCGGTTTTATTAATTAATGACTTTATCACTTGTGTCGTCGTGTGTTTACTCTGTATTGAGCCACCCTTGTATTGTCACCGTTACTTCGCTTATGTATCCTGTTTCGCGTGTCGCGAGTATTTGCTGATGTGTTACAATTTCGTGTAACAGAGATGTCGTTCACGGACAGTATGTGTGTACGCCATTCGCATTTGCTATTGAATTAAATGCGTCCATGATTAAGAAAAGATCGTGACGTCTCTTACTTCCCGGCCCCAGCACGGATCCCTGTATGTGGAAAGTGATTGAGACACGTAGCCAAGAGGGAACCGGATAAAAAGGGGTTGAGTGGTCTTTCCTCTCTTTGGCAATCGGTGGCGTAGCGGGGGACGTCTCACTGTGCGAGCCATCTGTGCCGTGAGACATTCAACTTGCTCACTTTTCTGCCATCACATTTACTACTTTTCCGATTCAATATAATTTCATATCATTTGCAAAAACAGGGCTGTTTCCTTAGTATGCCTACTCAAAGTGCAGAAGTTAGCACTGGGAGCTTGAGGCACATTAGAGTGAATATGGCAGGGACAAGAGTTCGGTACAGGCTCAGTACAGTGCTATACGGTATATTGAAGAGAATGGCTTCATTGCATCTATATAACCCCATCTCAGAAGTTCCATTCAGCACTGTGGAGGTTACAGGGCCCCTTAGCACACAGGGAGGACCAAAATTCCTGACAATGTATACAGCAGCGCTGCGTCATCTGCTCAGAGTCCCCCAAATGCTTATGCACAGGCGTTCACCAACGAGCACACGGCAGCACTGGAAAAAAGAAAAAGAAAAAAAAAACAGGACTTGACTGCACTGGTGCACTCCGTCTCAAATTTATCACGTAATCATTATGTGCTGTGAGGCCCCCAAGTTCCAAACTGAAGCTTGAACAGTATTACTGAGTATAACTATTTTGATGAACCCTTAGCAAATTATTGGCGTGTTAGGCTCAGCAGGTGCAGCTGAACAAACAGCTGATTTTGCCAATAACCAGTAAACATAACCTTTGCTTTGTCTTCATTTTGAGATGGCACAAAGCAATGGCGGTTGCTGATACAACAATTGAAGAAGTATGACATAAATGCGATGAAGAATAAACATTTCATGTACTGATGTGAATTACCAAACAAGTGTGAATGCTCCGACCCTGCGAATCGTAAGGCAATTGTACCTGGAACAATCATTTGCTGCGCAAGCGTGTGGCTTGCTTACATCCCATAGCTTTGGTAATGCTGAACGGTAATGGTGAGATGGAGTATAATTAGTAAAACATTTCGAAAACGGTACAGCGCACGCAGACAGGGACAGCGCTGAGTCCTGTATTTTCTTCATCAGTCTTTGTCTTGGTGCGCAGTGACGTTTCCAAAAGTAAGATACTTTCACGACTGAAATCTAAGGGGATCTTAAAACTCATTTATATAGAGAATGTGGTATGAATTGCATCAATATATGTGGTTTCGACATTGGTGTTTTCACGGACTTACAGTAGGGTAAGAATAGATGACTGGGTAGGAATCAATTCCTTTGGGAGCTTCGACGACGTGGTCCGGGTGGCAGTAGCCATGCTCGTAGTAGCCTTCAACGCCAAGTGCTTCAAAAAGCAGCTGGACGCATAGTGCGTCCGACTTCTTGCACAAGCTGGCTATCCTGGAGAGTGCATGAAAAGAGAGAACGATGAATATGAGAAATCAATTGAACCGACAATGTGTGGATTTCGAGCTGGGAAACTCGGCTATCACTATTGGAGTTCATTTTTCACAAATCCTACATGCTCTAAAATTTGATGTTCAATTCTGCATTGTCCTCAATGCTCCAATGTCTCAGATAAAATTGTATATAAACATGGAAAGATCAGAACGCACGAAGCATTGCCTGGAAGAATCGAACGAACAATAGATAGAGTATACACGAACACACGTACTTGAATGCAAAATATGTGCACACTTGCGTATACAAGGTCTATGTATTTGATGTCGTCTGGTGCACCCCAGTGTTGCCAAGCAGACTCCTGTGACATCCTGCACTGGCATGGGACACATCTGTGCACAGCTGTGAGTGCACGATGTTTCACTAAAACTGCCAAGTGCAACCTGTAAAGCTGCAACATCACAGCAAACCAAGACACGTAGTGATCTTCAGCCTCTTTGAACAACAAAGACATTGCATGAGTGCTTTGTACCACACACACTGCCCATACTCTACAAAGAACGAAATCGAAACTATAAAAGAAGATGCATTGACAGTTCGCTAGCTTACACTTCCTATCATTTCTATGATGGTACAGTTGAACCCTGATATATCGAACTCACCAAAAAGCATTTATTAGTTCTATATATGGCATAATTCGATATATTTGATTTTTTTTTCGAGGATTTGATGACACAAAGGCACATGCAATAAAAAAAGTACTTTATTAATACGGTGGCTTATTTGCGTGCCCTACTTTGGAACAAAATAATGCTGGATTTTCTTTTGTTTCAATGACTTCGCTGCCTGCGACAGCATGCGCGCCTCCATGTTGTCCAACAAGTCGGAGCAGCTGAGTCTGCAACGTTCCGTATTCAAGCAACGGCACCATACCAACGCAAGTGCACTAATCACTTTGGAGGATGTAGTAACCGGGACATCGTCAATTTGCTCATTGCAGTCGCGTTGGCTAGTGGCCGGCGCGACGTCTGCAACGTAGTCCTCATCTTGTAGCTGGCTCATGATGGCGACATCATCGTCCGCACTGACAAACTCGTCAAATGTCGATAGCACCCGGAAACTCTGACAGCTCGCTCCAAACTTCAATGGAAACACCTGCGGTGTCTTCAGTGCTTTCATCGGAATTTGGGGTGTCATCCCCAGGCATGCGGAAATCGGTATGCCAGAGCAGTTCTGAATTGTCTCCTTGGTGACATCTGCCCACGATCAACTCAGCATAGAAAAAGCTCCGAGCAAGTCTGTCTTCATCTTCTGTCGACACGAAGGTTCTACAGCAGCCTCAATAGCCAGCTTTTAGTGCACATATGATGCCTTGGTCCAGTGGTTGCAGGACAGACGTAGCGTAGTGTTTAGGACAAAAAAACACACCTCTATGTTGCTGAAGGTCGTACTGCAGTGGTGCGATGAACAATTTTCCACAAGCAGGTACACCTTGCAATTTTCACCAACCCAATCATCGTTCCACGACAATAGCCACCTGCTCAAAAGCTCCCCAGTCATCCACGCTTTTGAGTTTGCTCGGTAGGTAGCTGGAAGCAACAGCATAGACACTTGTCTATGCTGTCCAGGTCCACCGCTCTGCTATTACCCGTAACTGCTTTGCAAACGATGTCTTGCCGTTCTTTGAACAGTTGGAGCCAGCCGGAACTGCCTTGGAAATCGTTCCTGCCAAGCAAGAAAGCAAGGTCCTTGGCTTTCTACTCGATCATGGGGCCGGATACCAGGATGTTTCGCGACCAAATGTCCACAAACCACTTGTGAACAGCCGCTTCGACATCTTCGTACAAAGCAGTTCGCACATGTCAGGCGCCACGGGCACCTGGCCTTTTGTTCAACATGGCTCTGATATCTGCCTTGTTCTTCAGTATAGTACTCAAGGTTCTCCTTGGAATCTTGTACACGGCGGCGACGTCGGACTTTTTCTCACCGCACTTGACTCGATTTATGACTTTCGAGTTTCGCAGCGAACAGCAAATTCTGCCTCGTTGCACAAGCCATGACGACAGCGCACCAAGAAAGTTCACAGAGAGCCAACAGGCAACACCATGAGCACGGACCATGCTGGATGAGGAGTCGAGAAAAAGAGGCAGCAGCAGGCACACAAACACAATGCAAGAAAAAATGGAGCTCACTAGTACTGCATACGCGCCTTAGAGAAAGCATGATGGCCTTTGATTGGCTGTGCGCACTGCAAGCAGCCCAGGATCATTTTTACAGCGAGGGCTGTTATCAGATCACAATTCGGGTCACGCGCCACCGTAGTTGTCTGCCGCCGATGCCACCTTTGGTGTCCGTAACCACATCGCATGAAATCGGAAGAAAAACCTAGTGCCAATGACACAGTGGGGCTTGAGCACCGGACCGCTGGGTGCCACCCCAGTATTCTACCACTGAGCCACTCTGGTGCTTGGGATTTTTTGGCAAACCTGCCTTAGGCAGGCTTCATGTCAGGAAAGCAATCGACAGGGTGGCACCGGCAGTTTTCCGCCACCAACATGAGGGAAAGCCAGCTTGCTGGGGCACTTTTGAGGCACATGAAGTTTGATATATCGGTTGTCGTTACTATTTTCGTTCGATGTAACAGTAACTTTCGGTGTATATTCTCAATGTAACTGTACCACATTTAGAAATTGTTTGATATATGGGATAAATTGATATATATAGGTTAGATATAGTCTGGCTTGACTGTATACAACAATCGCAGCACTAACTTCCTCTCTAGGTTATTGTGCAAAACTCTATGCCTTTCGGCATTTCAGAGTTCGCGTAGTCAATTGTTTCTGCGGCAAGGCCTGATCTAGGTCTTGTTCTTTTGTTACTTGTTTGACATGCGAGGCCTAATCTACTGAAATGGCTCTGACGTCACCCGTTTCATTTGCACCGTCGATACTAATGAAGAAATGAGGTGCAACGCTCTCACAGGTGGTGAAAAAAGCTGCAATTTTTCACCAGGTCGAAATCAGGCCGACCTCAATCTGATGTTGCTTGGAAGTTTTGATCGAGTCGGTAGATAACGACTCTGTGTATCAGGTCCTCGAACCAGGGCAGGTGGACAGTGACTCCGACAGAGCATTGCCCTTACTTCGCTTATCAAATGCAGATTTAGTTCAGGCCGTAATAGTGCTACTGACAACCTACAGCAACGGCCAAACACTAAATGAAAAACAAGGACAACTTGGTCATCTGCAATCGTGCTTCTGATAAAACAGTGCACCAGCAAGCTTTCCTGGGCCACTGGTCCAATAAAGGTGCTTTTTTATTTGTGCATCCTTGTTTTCGAACTATTGATTATTCACACTTTTCGGCAGTGTCTGATGAGTCCGAAAAAACCGTCGGCGACCGTAATTAGCTAATGTAATAAAAAGGCACAAATGAGAAACACAAGTTCGGAGCAAACATAGGTACAAGTTTCAGTGGTAAACTGGTAACACAGTACCACAAATAGCGCAATATGAAAGGGGAAGTTGTTACAAGCCTACATTACTTATTTTGAAAGGAGGATTCAGTCCTGTGATGTTGATTGTGCCAATGACTCATAACATATTCACGATAAGCATGACACCATTCCCACCTTTAGTCCACAATCAGGACATGATGACATGTACACCACACAAAGAATAACGGTCACATAGAATGGGGCAGTGGTATATTTTGTGTGACAAACACAGACAAGCATACTGTGACAGGCATGAGAATCAAAGCACAATGTTGTTATGAGCTATCATACTTGAGTTTACCGTGGACTAAAGCTTTTGTGCAATAAAACTGAACAGTATCTGACAACTGACATAATTAAATTCATGTGCAATGATAATTTATCTTAATTCAAGCAGGCTAGCAAACCCATACTTGGTATTGCATAGTACTGCACACTATTACACTACAATCCACTGCTAAACAACATCTATGTACAAACTTCTATTGCTTTAATGCCATTGAACCAAATAGGCGATATCGCCCATCATGGAGCACCATAATTTCTGTGTCAATTCTACATGTTTTCTCTAATTTCTTATGGAGTGAATAATTCTTTTCTTTCATTAGCAGTAGAAGATCAACCTTAGTAGTCCTCTTTAAGAAGTACCTAAAAACGACAAACCAGAAAGAATATATGGAAAAGAATAAGGTGAAGAGATGACATCAAATGAGAAATGTCACTGAAGCCGGCATTCTTATGTAAGAGGACAAGTGCTGTACCTCTGACAGTAGTCGATGGTCATCTTGGAGCCAAAAGTTTTCATCTCCTGTTGCGTTGCCTGTCGACTCAGGATTTTGTAAAAGTAGAGAGTAAACTGTAAAGCAAAAATTCATGCAGTTACCATATTTTCGTGCGTATAACCCGAACTAAAAACCCCAACATTTCAGTGGTAAAGTTGGCATGCGGATAATACGTAGGATTTATTCTATAGTGCTGCTTCACAGCATGCTTGTTGTGCTGTGAAGCCCCTTAACAGTGTAGCGAAAGATAAGGAGGCAGTTTCCGCAAATTCGTGTTGCTCCGCAAGTAGTACAATTTCGGTTTCGCTTGCTTGCAACACTGAAGCATTTACAAAAACATTTGGGGAGAGACAGTTCGATTGTTCAGTGTAAACATCAGTGTCTCATTACAAGTATACTTTTTTTTTAACGTTTGCAGCCGCACAGTGACCCTCCACCACCCTCCACATGCCCCACCATCACAAATGCCATGTTTACTTCGGAAAAGAGCTTGCCAAAAAGATGGCACTGTCTAAGAAATAGAAAGAAAGAGAGGGCATCTTTAGAAAGTGAACAATACCTGTATCTTACCTACACTTCCCGCAACAGTTTGGATTCCATATTAATTAAAGCAGTATTTATTTCAGCAAGGTAAATTATATATTATCAGTAAATTTGAGCACTACTTTTGGGCACGCTAACAAGCATGCATTCCAGTTCTATTGCCTCTACAGAGCTGCCAGGAAAGATTTGTCGCCAAGTGTGAGCGCTCTTCACCATGCTGGTACCGCTTGTTCTCTATATCTCGACCAGTTTGCCAAGTTTAAGTCGATGAGTAGTGTCCGGTGGCGGTCACCACACAGAAAATTACACCACACCGAAATTAGGCAATCGTGAAGCAGGAAGCGGCACAATGTGTATGAGTCCTGCGTGCGAGTGGAGAAAGAAAAAAGCCAGCCTACAAGCTGCGCAAGGCAACCGTAGACGATTTCGTGGCCCCAAGATCAGAGCCTACCCTGAGCTGGAGGTGCGAATAGTAAAGTTTATCGAACATGTGCGAAGCAAGGGTCATGCCGTGTCGGCCGAAATAGCCTAAGTGGAAGCGCAGCCACTGTCGAGGGAGCAAAGCTTACCTCACGGGTTCCGTGCGAGCCATGGATGGCTACACCGCTTTATCAAGGGCCAAGGCCTCTCGATCATACGGCGGACTACAATATGTCAGTACTTGCCGGCTACTTACGAAGAGAAGCTGCTCAAGTACCAGAGATATGCAAATGGCTTTAAAAAGCAGCACGATTACATTTTCTTGCAAATCAGCAATGCGGATGAAACTCCTGTTTATTTTGAAACGCCGTTGAACACAACCATTGAGAAGACGGGCAGCAGTTGCATGAGCATGCTGACCGGTGGAAACACGAAACTGCACTGTAAAGTCTTGCTTTGTGCCCTCACCGACGGCACGAAACTGTGACTGTACGTCATACTGAAAAGAAAAACTCTTCCCAAGATTCCTCTGCCTGCCGGTGTGGTGGTGCGTTTACTTGAGAATGTGTGAATGAACAGCGACTTGTTCATGGACTGGGTCAAGACGGCATGGGAGAAGAGGCCCAGTGCGATGCTCACAAAGAGGTTCATGCTCGTTCTTGACTCGTTCCACGGCCACACAATTGAGGAAGTGAAGGACTGCCTTTGACGCAACAGCTCTGACTTAGTTATTATACCCGGTTAATGTCAATGTAGCACCCTCTAGATGTGTCGTTTAACAAGTTCTGCAAAGCGCATGTCAAGCGAATTACGTCAAGTGGATGGCCAAAGGACTTTGTATACGACTTGAAGCCGGCAGAATGCGTCATAAGGCCTGATATTGCCCTATTCTGCAAGTGCATTGTTAAGGCATGGGAGGCCACTGTCCAAGTGAGATGGTGCACAAAAGCATTACGAAATGCTGCATCAGGGACAACATGGATGGAACCAAAAATGACCTTGTGCATAACAGTAAGGACTACAGCTCATGCTTGATAACTCCAGCGAGAGCAGCGACAATGAGTGAATTATGACCGGCCTTACAGACAGTGTTTTTTCTCGGCGAGCTGAAAGTGGGGGTGCAGATTATATGCAGGGGTGGGTAATACACACGAAAACATGGCACAGGCGTCTTGCGCAGAAATCAGTTACTTAAGCGACAAGAAGAAAAAATGAAATAACAGCATCAGTTCATTCCATTACAGGTATAGAAAGAGCCACTTACACAAACTTGACACCTTTTTTTTTTTCACCTGCAATGAGACCTTCAAAAATCAGTAAATAAATATGTAATTTACTGGCGATTCTGGAATACTGAACTTCTGAATATTCAGACATTTTGATAGCCCCTGAGAAGTACGTGAGATCAATTTTCAAATGAATTGCTTTTAACATTATTGCTCGAAAAACATGATTTGGCAACTAAACAGGTCCACTGTGTATAGCCTATGCGATGTGTTCAGCCCTTTCCTTCTAGAAGAGTGCACATAATCACTTAAGCCTGGTTCACATGCGAGCGAACGAGCGGCGGCGGTCACGGCGATGAGCGGCGGGAGGACGCGCGTTCATTTCACATGCGCCGCTGCTACCGCTGCTGTTGCGCGACGGCCGCCGCTTTAGCGGGCAGTGTTGTCCGCGGAAGGTGCCGGTCAACCGCTGTTTTCAGTAGTATCTGAAAGCCATGCTCTCCTCCAAGTGTCCTTCATCTGGCCCCCCAGTGCTACGGGGTTCATCATCAATAGCCGCTCGACTTTTACGCGTCTGTACACTGATTGAACTAGTTTTAACATGTATCTTACAAGAAATAAGCAACGTTTGCAGTTGCTTTTTGTTTTGTCCTGGCTTTTTCACGTATGATTCTTGTTGCGCGCTCATATAACTGATACAACTGACCATGGAGAAGCAAAAAAAAAAAGTTTGCTTTTATGGTTTCATTATACAGCTGTTCCAGCTAGGTGAATGCTTAAGAACTGCGAGCGCGTTTTGCGCAGCACTTCCCATGTTTCTCCGATTCATTGCTTTTGCTTTCAGTGATTTAACATTGGGACACTGAACGAGGTTTCTGTCAGCCCAGTATACACAACTCGCAAAATTTATACCTAAATTTTTGTACCTGTTCGCTCGAGTCAAAATAAGAGTTTTTATAAAAGCTCTAAGTAGAAAGCTTCGGCAGTGTTTGTGGTCACCCTTTGGCTCATGCGAACACATCCTTCATTGGGGTTTTCTGAATGATCTACATCTCTTCTGGCGCTCGAATTCGTATGCTTCCACCCTAAAGAGTAAGCCTCTTAGATTTTTCAATAATTCAGTAAAGCACTCCAGGATGAAAAGTTTCATCAACGGCAGGTATCATAATATACGTGATACGCTCGTCTCGGTTCTTTGACTGCTGTATATACACTTGTGCGCGGCGCAGGTAAGGGACTACGCAGCAATTCTTGCTTTAGCTTGCATATGCATCCATAAATGCTGCGGTGGTGAGCAGAAAAGCCGAAGTATCACATCATTTCACACAACACACCTTTGCCGTCGGGACATAGTGACATTCAATTGGTAGCATTCGACCGTGTAATTTAGATGCATGTTTTTAGGCATGTGTTGCTGCCCTGGTGCCTGAAATCAACAGCTGTTCTTCGTTATCTACGCAGTGTATGTTGTGCTCGCAGCCGAACATCTATTTTCGCCTAGCCAGCCGCCTATTCCTGCACTGGATGTCACGGAGAGCAGCTGGCCAGTGTGGCAGGACTTGTCGACAGCCTGCAAACTTGAGCGCTCTGCGGTGCAATTGCTCATTGCGAGAAAAGCGTCGCAGAGGACGCGGACGAGTCAGCCAGTGTATTAGTGAGAAATCGAGGTGTTGTTAAAGGGGAGAACAAAAATAAAGGCTCCTGATGAGTGCCTTATTTCCCCGAACCATGACAGGAAGCTTCGCGCCCCTTCTTTGTTGAGTCACATCACGAAATTCCTTTTCAGTGACCTGCGTAGAATGCTACTTCTCAAGTCCACTACCGTAGAAGCCGTCCTAGCTCTCTCGTTCGTGTGAAGCCTTTTATCTATGCACCGCGACACCAAATGTCATCATTTGTTAAACCAGCAACAATTTCTGCGACATAGAAGTACAGCGTGCCATGCGACTCCTCTACGTGGGAATAACTTTCGATGAAAACGCAAAAACAGAAAAAAGAAAGTAGTGATAATGTTATTGAAATAAAAAAAGGCACCCCACACAATATTCACTATGGCGAAAACATCGTCGAGAGCCACGAAAGGAAAACAGCTGCACTTCGACTTCACCAGTGAACATGGCCAGTTCAAGCCACGACGTTTACTTTGTGGAAGTATGCGACTTCGGCAATTTCTTCCCAAAGAATGCTCTTCTTATGGTTCTTGCGGAAATCCTCCATCTTGACATCCCAAAGAAGAGATCGTTTCACAACTTCTATCAGCGACTTGTCGAAAGTAGTGCGAAGCATTTGTGAGCCGGGGAGAGGACGGATGCCGTCTGCTACTCAGCCGGAGCGAGTTGTTCTGTGGAACCAGTTCCTCGCAGCGCGCGCATCAACGTCTCGACTCCACCCCTGTCATCACATGTCAAACGACGTCACTGGTCGCTCTGCCGCTTGTGCCGCTAGCGAATTTTTCCAACTCTGGCGAATTTCACAAGGGCGTCTAGTCGCCGCGGTAAAAACCTGTTTTGGTTTGTGCGGAGGCTGCCACTCCGCTCTTGGAGCAAAATCGCTCGCATGTGAAACAGGCTTTAGAGTGGTACTGACACCTTTTTTTCGGAGGCGAGTTTACTCTGCCATACAAATCTCTTTTATACAGAGACAACTCTGAGCGCGTGTGACGCTCAGCAAATGCTAATAAGATATTTTATTTTGATATATTAAAGTTAATTTTCTCACGGCGCACTTACTGACATTGACACTAACTTTACGTCAGGCTACAGTACTAATCCTGGTGACTTCATGTGGCCGTCTGTCTAGTTGTGATGACGTCAAGCACTAAAACACTAAAAATGGCAGCTTGCACATTGCCTTCTCGATTGTCTGCTCGCCGCGTGTGGTAGTGAGGTCACTGTCATCCAGCATACCTGCGAAGTGAGCTAGTGAAGTCTGGAATAGTGTATGTGGACAGGAATACAATATACACACTATCAGAGGGTTAAGGAAACGTTTGATTTCGAATTTGTCATAATGGCACCAATATTTCTCCTTGTAAACTCTTCCGCTAGTGAATTGGGATACAGTAGGTGCAATATCCACCAATTTCCGACCGAGCCAGCGCTGAGACAAGCGTCGGTCGACTTTGTGCACTGCTGCCGAGGTGGAGATGGACGCCAACCAAGCGGAGTTTACTCTGTTTGCTGCACTTCACTCCAGACACACACACGTGCAACATGCAGTTGCTGACCATGAACTTCGTATTGTCGACAAAGAACTCTGCACCTTTAAAGTGACGCCATACCAAGGTTGTGCACTTCTGCCGCGAAAGTTGCTACACGTGTGGCGCGCAACACACAACAAAGACGATTGAAGAAGCGACACTGCCGACGAGGATCACGACAACTTGCGCGCACACGTACTACCACCTGGTGGTGCTGTCCATACCATGTCGGTGACGTCAGGGTACAGAAGCAACGAAAACTAGCTTTTAAAAGCACGCTGTAATTAATTTTTGAGGCTGCACTAAAGCTTCCCGGTATGTTTCCTGCACTCTCGAGGGCTAGGCTTATCATTTAACGCAAAAAAAAACAATGAGTGAAAAATTTCGTGTCAGTACCCTTTAAAGAAATACAGACTAGGCCCACCACCCTTGTTCTGGTCAGATTTGTCTAATGCTGTATTCTAAGTAATTTTATTAGTATCATTTTCTTTTCTTTGTTGTCTGAATTAATGAGTAAATGGCACGAGACACTGTGCCAGGACATTGAAGAAGCGATGGTATTGCAATCCGAAGGAAAAGGTGCCCAATGGTGTGCTGCAATGATGGTACGTGAACCGAGGGGGTATTGGAAACACAGTATGAAGAAGTCGATATTGTTACGTGAGAGAAGAGATGTTAGACTGACGAGGCTGTAGACAAAATATTTTATAACCAGCAGTTGCAGCGTGACCGGTTAACCAGCGACCGAACAGAGCCAGCCCTTCGTCCACTTCATCAGGCACACACGCGCATCATCCGGAAAATGTCAATATGCATGCAGCAATATTGCGTGTGTTACAGATCAACGAAGGCTGTTAAGTCAGCATTGCACTGATGATGAGAGCAGCAGCTGCTAGGTCGGAAAGAAGCAGCACTAGAAGTTAGCGACCCCGACATTCATCTTAGCAACAGCCGGGTGAGGCTACTTGGACTCGCGCCAGCCTCGTTACAGCGATTCTCGAAGCCCCTGCAATGCTCCGCCTTCCAATACAAAGCAGTATCGACTCGCGGAACCATTCCCGGTACCACATCGTACATCAGGCCAGGCATAACTTAGGTGCAGGGATAGATGACACAGCTAGGGCTAAGCTTTCAACCTCGGCGATGATGACGACTAAAAAACTGGCGATGGATACAAGTGACTTATCTGATTGCTGCCAAACGATGACGAAAGATCAGTGGCACTCAAGCAAAACCAAACTGTTGCCCAATGATCCTCCCAAAAAGGTGATTTATTTATTTATTTATTTCGTAATACCCTCCGGGCTAAAGGCATTATGGAGGTGGGTGAAACACAATTTTTACTCATAATGTTAGCTAATAATAAAAAATAAAAAAAGAACAAAATATAAACGTTGTGTACAAACAGAACAAGTAAGTGTGGGCGTTTATACAATGATAGCACAGAATGCTAGTTTGCGCAGTCGAATTTCTTGTTTTAAGTTTATTAAAAGAAAGAACTTTAGAGTGGAAAATTACATGAAAGGAAGTGTTTGAATTAAATTTCATCTGTACGCTCAGGAGCTCAACATTTTTTTTTTTCCCTTGTGCTCAGCTTCTGCATCAACACTGACCTTTCCAATCATGAAGGCATTGAGCTTGTTGATCCAAGTTACCAGCTGTGGGAGCCTATCAGCCCTCAGCAGAGATGAAGGTGTTCGGCGGTTCTGTAATAGTACATATATAAAGCATTCGATGAGTTGAGCAGGTAATGATGAAATATGTAGCTTTCCTTTGCAGTTACTACAGCAGTTACAGAGCGACACCAAACAACACAGCTGTTAGCTAACTACGACACTCTACTAAGCACTGAAACTCAATGAAACAATCTTACTTTGTTTTCACATAACTGATGACACGGTACAGGACTGCGACACGCATTAACAACTTGCTCGGTCTCACACGAGCTGTTCACAGGCTCATGTGATACTTTGTATAAACATTTCCAGTTTTTTAACATGTGATCAGATAAGTCTAGAATTTGCTATCTGTGTGGGAGACCTGTTTTGAAGCTTTTCAAAATAAATGTTGATTGAACAGCATGTATTTGCAGAGTGACGATGTAATTCAAAGTTTCCATCGACATAATGATCACATGACCGTTTGCATCAGCAGTGTATGTTATGAGATGGCAGTACAAACAAATTACACATTAAGACAAGAGACATGCAGCACATTTCCCCGATCAATACAGCCTTCCGACACTATAGCTTTGTGTAACAAGTGGAAGTTTTTTAGTCTTAAAATATGCTGAATCACCAGATATGAAATGATCAACCTCGAAGAAATCTGCCAAAGCCCCAAATTTAGGAGAACGAGCTGCGAATTTCGACATTTCCTAACCTTGATTTTTCGAAATAACCCTCACTGGCACACTTCATTTTCCTTTAAACTATGGATTTGCAAACAAGTAGCAGTGTCTTTACATTTATGTGATGAAGACTACATCGATGACAGCAGTAAGGCTACACGTGTTCATTTCATTCCTACATCTTCGGCTTGAACTTTGTGCACATGTGTGTACGTGTGCAACAAGACCTCATGCACGTGACAATTATGACAAAGAGGTAACCGCCATCGGTACGATGAAAGTGTACATATGATTACAGCTTATTGATCAAGGCGTCAAACTTATGAGCAGGAGGTCCATGTTTGAAACATCGAAATCTTGCATGCAGGTAAGTTCTTTGACGTATGCGCTATTCTGTGAAGAAAACAGCACCCCACAGCGTGATCAAGGAAGTTTGAAAAGGCCCTCAAGGAAAGCTCCTTTTTAGAAGTGCGACTATGAAGTGAGTAACATGAGATACATACATATTGTTACATGCGTACTGCATCTAGCCTTAGATCATGTGCAAGAGTACTTGACAAAGGGGACAAAGAGCCGTCTCCACTCAGGCTTTGAGCTTAAATGATCAGTGCTGCAACCACTGTCATGAATATACGTAACGAGGAGTATTTAATAAGTTAACGCCGGTTGGGTTAACACTGCACACAGTGGGCAAGGATGCAGGACAACAGGGCAATCCAGACACGGCCCCACAACAACGTCGTCTTCATCCCTTCTGCGTCATTTCTGCCCCTGTGCCTGAGGTACCTTTCTATACCTGTGACATTACCCCGAGCGGCAAAGCACCGGTCCCGGTGCCTGCTGTTATTAGACTGATGGGTCACTGTGATAGGGCTTCAGGCGAGAAACATGCACAATGTCCACTTCTGGATGTAACAGTGGGGTTCGTAGTAGGAGAAATTTCATAGGGCGACAGATGTGACTTGGCGCAGAACTCGGTAAGGCCCAACGTATTGCGATAAAAGTTTCTCGCACAGGCCGACACGACGGGATAGGTAGCCACAGTAACACGAGAGAGCCCGGAGAAAAATCGACATCCCTATGTCGGCTGTCATAGAGCGACTTTTGTGCTCTCTGGGATGATGAGAACCTGGCACGGGCTACTGTACGTGCTATCAGAGCACGGGAGATGGCATCTTGTGCGTACGAAGTGGTGGATGGAAGGTCATGCGCAGCCAGGGTATCAAAAGGTAGTAAGGGATCACGGCCAAAGAGAAGATAAAGTGGTGAGTAGCCGGCAGTTTCATGACGCAACAAGTTGTAGGCGAAGGTTACGACCGGAAGGGCAGTGTCCCAATCGGTGTGGCCGTCAGAAACATACATAGCAAGCATGTCCATCAGTGTGCGGTTGAGGCGTTCAGTAAGTCCGTTAGTATGAGGATGGTAAGAAGTCGTAAAGTTGTGCCGCGTAGCACAGGATCTAAGCAAGTCGTCAACCACACGAGACAGGAAGCAGCGGCCTCTGTCCGTGAGTAGGTGAGAAGGAGCGCCATGCTGAAGGATGATGTCATAGAATAGAAAATCTCCGACGTCCGTTGCGCAGCTGGTCGGTAGCGCTCGAGTAATTGTATAACGAGTGGCATAATCCGTAGCTACTGCTATCCATTTGTTTCCCGTTGCCGATGTTGGAAAGGGACCTAACAAATCCAAAATCCAAACCCACCTGATGAAACGGCTCGGCTGGGACTTCAATAGGTTGAACGTGACCAGCAGGGAGAGACCTAGGCTTCTTCCGACACTGCCACAGGTCACACGCTGCAACGTAGCGGCGAATAGAACAATAAAGGCCCTTCCAGAATACCCGTCGGCGGATGCGGTCATAGGTTCTGCAGACACCTAAATGTCCGGCAGTTGGGGCGTTGTGAAGTTCTTGCAAGATGTCTTTGCGCAGATGACGTGGGACGACGAGCAAAAGTTTCGCGCCATTGGGCTGTAAGTTACGGCGGTACAAAACATTCTTTTGTAGGAAAAACAGGCTCAGTGAAGGGTCTTTATGGCTGGATTGAAGGCGATCAATCATCGATAGCAGCGATGGATCTCAGTGTTGTTCGTCGGCTATTTGCAGAAAACCTGTTATGGCTAGGATGTTGGCATCAGCTTCCAACTCAGAGTAGTCGGGTTGATCAACAGGGTGTCGAGATAAGCAGTCGGCATCGCTGTGAAGCTTGCCAGACTTCTACACTACAGAGAACGTGTACTCCTGCAATCGCAACGCCCATCGCCCGAGTCTTCCTGTAGGATCCTTAAGGGTTGACAGCCAGCAGAGCACATGGTGGTCTGTGATGACTGCGAACGTGCCTTCATAAAGGTACGGACGAAATTTTGCGATAGCTCAGATGAGAACCAGGCACTCTCGCTCAGTAATTGAATAGTTCCTTTCCGAGTGAGAAAGTAGGCAGCTAGCGTACACTATGACACGGTTTGTGCCGTTCTGCATTTGTGCGAGTATTGCCCCTATGCCATGGCCACTTGCGTCGGTGCGAAGCTCGTTCGAGCGGCTGGGTCAAAATGGGCCAACACAGGTGGTGATGTTGACAAAACGGCGGAAATATGAACAGAGTCCCAATAAGCTGCGGACTTTTTGCGTGGAACGTGGGACCGGAAACTCGCGCACCGCGCGGACTTTATCAGGGTCGAGTCGTACACCAGTAGCGTCAACAAGGTAGCCAAGTAGCTTTATCTGACGGCGCCCAAAGGTGCACTTAGACGCGTTAAGCTGGAGGCCAGCAGAGCGAAAAACGTCAAGAATGGCCGACAGAGGTGGAAAATGGCTTTCAAAGGTTGACAAGAAAACGATGACATCGTCAAGATAGCACAGGCACGTCGACCATTTAAAACTGCAAAGGAGGGAGTCCATCATGCGTTCAAAAGTTGCTGGCGCATTGCACAACCCAAAAGGGATGACTTTAAATTGATAAAGCCCATCAAGTGTTATGAATGCCATCCTCTTGCGGTCACGGTCATCGACTGAAATTTGCCAATATCCAGATCGTAGGTCCAGGGAAGAGCAATACTTGGCACCATGAAGGCAGTCAAGCGCATCATCGATTCGAGGTAGAGAACAGACATCCTTTTTGGTTATTCGATTGAGATGGCGATAGTCAACGCAGAACCGCCAGGTGCTGTCCTTCTTTTTAACAAGCACAACAGGTGATGCCCACAGACTGGTTGAAGGCTCTACAATGTTGAAGGCTCTACGAAGGCTATGTTGAAGGTTGAAGGCTCTACGATTTTCTCTACCTCCTTCTGGATTATTTGGCGCTCTGAATGAGACACACGGTAAGGATGCTTATGAAGGAGACGGGCGTCGCCAGTGTCGATACGGTGGGCTACGACGCGCGTGTAGCCCAAGGAACGGTCATCGATATCAAAAATGTCGAGGTAAGAAAATAGAAGGCCACACAGTGCTTCAACTTGGGACGGCGACAGGTCGTTTGATATCATTTTGTCTAGGAAAGCTCTATTCTGTGCGGCTTCGGCAAGTTCGGCTACGGTCTTGATGTCAGGAGTGAAAGATGAAATTGTACATTGCTCCAGAGTGGCGAGTTCTGTTAAGGCAATACCTTGAGGAATGACCTGGGTCGACACGGAGAAGTTGAGGACAGGGAGAAGCGTGTTGTTGTCGCTAATCCTCACTATAGTATGAGGAAGTATGATGTTCCAGAAAAGGGTCAAGTCAATGAGTGGAGCTGCGAAGTAGTCGCCATCAGGAACAGGTGGGATCGGCAACATAGAAAGGTACACAGCGGCCTGAGGCGGTAATCGTAGACACTCCACGGACAGTAGCCGTGTGCGAGCTACAGGAAGGACATCAGAGTACAGAGGCAACTCTAGCTGTAAAGTGCCGGTTGAACAATCGATGAGGGCTGAATGCGCGGTCAAGAAGTCAATGCCGAGAATCACTTCGTGTGGGCAAGCGTCTAGAACAGTGAAGAGGACTGAAGTGTGAAGGCCGGCAACAATGACGCGGGCAGTGCACATACCAAGAGCTGATGTTCGACTGCCGTCGGCTACTCGCACAGTCGAAGACATGGCAGGGGTAAGAACTTTTTTCAGGCGGAATCGAAGACGTGAACTCATAACAGATATGTGGGCACCAGTGTCTATTAGAGCTGTAACGGTCAGGTCATCGATAAGAACACCAAGTAAATTTTGTCTGGAATTAGTGGTCGGTAGAGGTTTTTTCGGTCCGAGCTGTCAATGCAGCGCCACTTCCAGGAGCTGCATCTGTTAGTTTCCCGAGAACTGCCCAGAATACAGCTGGTGACGGGAAGCGACGGCGTTGATAGGAGCGCAGCTGGCGACCCTGAGGAGACAGGCGAGCGGCTGGACCGGGTTCCCTGGGCGACGACATCGGCATAGGATGGTTCGAAGCGTAGCGTAGAACGGCTAGGTGGAAGGTCCTGAAGGTATGAGGTCATCGGTAAAACAAGGTGGCGAATACTGCTCACGATCCTGTCGGTGGTCGTCTAGGAAACGTTGCCGGAAAGACCATCTGTTGCGGCAGTGGCGGGAAATGTGGCCAACAGCGATGGCAAGAGAAGCATATCAGTCGATCATCTTGTGTGCGCCACTCAGGATAGATTTCAGTAGCGTGATGAGAACCAATGTGGCAGCAGCAACAATGTGGCAGCAGCAATGTGGCAGCAGCAACAATTGAGGTGGCGTGGTAGTGAGCATTATGATTTATGAGCTGTGGTGTGTGGCTGGAGTTTTGTGGAACTAAGACGCCCATGTTGGCGAACTCTTGTCGCACAACAGCCTGAATAAGAGATATGGGGGACAAGTTGTCAGGCACAGGGGTGTATAAGCGGAAGGAGCCATGGATTCCAGCTCCTGGCGGACAATTCTTGTAATGTTTGGAGGATTCACGAATGGACGTGGTGCCACAGGATCCTCGCAGCAAGAAGTCGCAGCAGTGTTCGGGAGTCGGGAAAAACATTGAGCGATTCTCCTGCTTTTGGCTTATTCGAACCGCCTACATTCACTGACAATTGAGTCAATGGTGGTACAGTTCTTGCATATCAGAATGTTGAAGGCATCGTCGGCTATGCCCTTCCAACACATTGCTGACCTTGTCTAGTTCGATCATGTCTTTGTCGGCCTTCCGACACAAGGCGAGCACGTCTTGGATATAGGTGACGTACGACTCGGTGGAAGATTGAACTCGTGACGTGAGTTCCTGCCTGGCTCCCATTTGTCGAGCAACTGACGGGCCGAACAAATCACGGAGCTTCTGCTTGCATACGCCCCAACTCGTCAGGTCATCCTCGTGCATCTCGTACCAGGCGCGTGCAATACCTCGCAGGTAAAAGATGATGTTGGCCAGCATAAGCGTCTCATCCCACCTGTATTGCTTGCTGACGCGCTCGTATAAGGCGAGCCACTCGTCAATGTCAGTTGTGTCGGTGCCGCAAAATGTACCTGGATCGAGAAGATGGGAAGGGATGACAGGTGACGGAGCAGGCGTAGACTGAACGGACGGCGCACTGTCTTCAGGCATCGTGGCTGGACGAAGCTGACGTCCACTACGGAGATCCAGAGACGGAATGTTACCCAGCACTTCCACCAAAAATATTGAACGGGGAGTATTTAATAAGTTAACGCCGGTTGGGCTAACACAGCACACAGTGGACAAGGATGCAGAACAACAGGGCAGTCCAGACACGTCCCCACAACATCATGGTCGTCTTAATCCCTACTGTGTCATTTCTGCACCTGTGCCTAAGGTATCTTTCTATACCCGTGACAATATCTTCCAAAAGTCTACAATACACATGTCTCGTCATTCATATTACATTTTGGTGGAGGTGCTGGGCATGTTCCACCACGCATACTTTTTGTGTGTGTGATCACCGATTGTGTTCGTCATTGTCATCTGTAGACACTGATCATCACCTTATCTGGCTCACACAATTGTGCCTGAATACCTGGCAACTCCACCACTAATAAGACAACATACAGTCTGATGGTATAATGCCTAATTGTTCTACTAATTTACTCAGCTGTCAATAAAACAATCTCAGTGTGTCTAGTGATCACTGCACCCAGCTAACCCATCTGCTGCTAGCTGTGGTACCATGTGATCACTGCCTTAGAATTCTATAGCATATAGAAGATTTGGGCTCGCATGCCTCATGGCATCATCTGCACAATGCACTTCTATAGATGTATCTTCGATTGCACATGTCAGAAAATTAGACAAGATGCAGTACTTTCGAAGGAAGTAGTCGTGAATTAAAGAAAGAAACACACAAACTCTGAGTCAATGTTCTTTCCCGAGTGCTACCTGCCTCTGGCAGTAGAAGGCTGGCATTCCACTCTCCCAATCTCGCATGGGCCTCTTTCAGGTGAAGGAGAGCTTGCAGAAACTGCCACTGCGACAACAGCACCTGAGCCTCAAGTAGGTGATGCAGAGCCTCCAGCTCCATGCTGCACATAATCACATCATGGACCAGTTTGTCGCAGTCACCACAGCTTAGGTCGAATTCTAATAGGTCAAATTCCCGCAGCCACATCAAATGAGCAGCAGTACAGTGTGGAGGCTTGCTATGTAAGCTGCACAGCTGCATATGCCATAGTATTGGAAGAAGTTAGTACTATAATAAAGGAATCATTTCATGAAGTAACGCTACACGTGTGAATCAAACTGAGTTGATTAATTCAGCCAGCGTCCCCATGAATAGGAGCAGTGAATTTCCGTTTGTTTAGGCAAATGGCAATTGGCAAATTCAAATCGCAAATGGCTTTTGCTTAGGCTAATGGCAAAAAAATTGAAGTAAAATTGACAAGCAATACCCTTCTCTTACTTTTGTCAATGAACCATTATTATAAAAAGATGAAATAATAAAACAGAAAGAGCAAAGCTGAAGCAGGTCACGCAATAAAGCCTGCTTTAGACATTATTTTGCATTACCTCAGCAGGTACACACGAAATACCAAATCGATCTCGACTGCCTCGAATATTTGTTTGTTACAACAATAGGTTTTGTCAAGTGCTGGCTAGGTCAACTTGCTTAAGGTACATAAGATCATCAGCAGGCACATAGACAATTGTTCCCTCTAAAATGCCTCCTAGTATATCACAAGTATATATGCTACCTCCATATCATGGGCAATGAACAAGCAACAATCAGCAGCTGAAGGTGATTGATGATATTACCAAAAGTACTTTCATGAAAGTTTGAGCCCTTCTATCCTATCCAAGCAAACTGAGGCATTTCTTTGAAGAACAAAAGACAAGCAAGAGGGGAGATCACCTGAACGATGACTTCAGTGGGGTCAGGATAGGGTGATGAAATAGTTTTTGATTCTGTTGTATGATATCACTCAGGGTAGCAGACAGATCTTTGAACTTCATCATTTTACCAAGACTGAGAGTGTACAGCTTGTCATAGCTGCATGTGTGTTAAGGTACACCACATTCATGAAATGGCAACAGTGACATCATTCAAAACACGCACCTGAATGTTTCTCAGAATTGAATGTCCATTAGGAAAATAGTGCAGCCCAATTACTACAAAGATCGCACTCTTTCTACATGTCCTTGGTATTACTGTGCTAAGCTCTTAAGCATAAGGGCCCTGCAACATTTGTTAAACATGATTCGTATATGCTTCCAATTGATAGTCGAGGCTCCAGCAAACATGTGAGCCAAACATTATAGTGGGCCACATGGCACGGAATGTACAATTAAATTTTAAGGTAATCTGGAAATCGCTAGCTGTCCTCTAGGCATACTAAGCCATTTTCCCAAGATCAATTGTATCATACACTGAAAAGCACATGGACACTGCCACTGGCTGATTTGAGCATTGTGAGCTGCACAGTTGCCATGGTGTGGCGCAAAGCACCCATGCCACGCCCTACAGTACTAGATTTAAACTATAGAATTACACCAGTGCGTACTTTATTCCAGTGATGAAGGTTAGCCGTGCATTCAAAGGAAACAAGAAAAGAAACAATAATAATAATAATATGAGACTTTGCGAGCCAATCCTATGATATGATTATGACGCTGACTGTAGTAAAGGGCTCCAGAAATTTCGATCCTCTAATGTTCAACTTGCCCCTACATTGCACAGTAAACAGGATTCAAGCATTTCACCTCCATCAAAAAGCAACTAACTAGGCCAGGATCGAACCTACAACCTTCGGGTCAGCATCTGAACACTGTAAACACTACATGGCTATAGATGGATAAGAAAAGAAAGTGTTCAAAATTAGGACATGCACTAATGTACAGGTGTAGCTTATTGCACCAAAATGTACATGTGCCAGCAGCATGTCTCTTTACAAGCTCATGTGTGAAAGAGAGAGCAGAAGCACCTATGTGTTTGCTATGCAGTACAATCTTAACAGTAGAGAGCTTAAATTTGTCTATAGACTTCCTGGTGTTTGCGGATACCGGAATACTGGAGCCATGGATGGCAGCATCGGAGCCAGAAGTGACAGCTTGTGACATTTTGCCCAACTGAAATACATTTTAATTTCACTATCAACAGTATTATCAGTGTTCTCGTCAAAGGAAAAAAATTAAAGTAATATGAGTTGATTATTAAATATTGTTCACAGAGCAAGGCAACCGGATAAGTCAGCGCAATGTTAGCTTTATGGCGCTTCAGTTGGGCTGAGCCTTATGAGGTGTTGCGACCACTGTTGCCCATCTCTGACATATTGCCAGCAGCCCAGTTAAACCATGATGTAGATTGTCTACAAACAGTACCTTTGTGATACTAAATCACGAGGTGCTTCACTTTCCAATTCAATACTTGCATGAAGTTCATAAATCAATTAGTTTTAGACTGTATTTGTGGCTGATATTGCAACATGATACTTTTGTGCTACAAGTGACGCCATAACAAAGTGCCAAAAAAACCCAGACCAATTCTTGCGTCATACTTTTCTAGTCTGTGTCATTATTGTGCTGTGTTATAGCTTTAAGGAGTCCTGAACAAACCCTGAGCTTGTAGAAAGAAGACATTTTACGAGCACCAAACACAGCTACAACCAGCTCAGCCAAATTTTTTGGTCGTGCAAAACATGTAGAGTTCATAAGTAGAGTGTCAAGGTCGCACACCTTTTCTTCATACAACGGCTCATCCTTATTCTCTTCAATGCTGCGAGCAGCTGCCAGATTTTGTCATTCAATGGATTTCTGATATTAGCCGATAGTTGGCATAAATCATCAGCGGTGTTTTGGTCAAATGCGCTTCTTGTTTTTAGTGCAAGTAAACGCTGGTGCCATGCTCAACAGTATGCCATAGCCCCCGTACTGCACACCAAGATCACATCCGAAGTAAATGAATGTGTTTTGTAACACCGCTGATGTAGACTTTCTCCTCTTTTGCCATCCCCCCTTGTGCAGCTTCCAGCACATTCAGTGGGACAAGAGGAGAGAAAAAGCACTCAACGAGGAGGAGGATGTTGCAGGCTACTGGCTGATCTAGCCTTGCGAGATTTACAGGCAGCTGTCCTACCCTGTTGCATCCTGTGAGGTCATGTTGAAAAGAGTTTCATTTCTTTAAAAGCAAAGCATGGACAGGCTATCAAGAAGGTAAACATAGTACGGTGCAGCAACGCACATGCCAGTGGCCTATGAGCTATCCTCCATAGGCTGCTGTGCAAGGCCCCCACATTACCACAACACCCGCTACATAAGTGTCACTCAGAACCAATTGCAAGTGAGGAATTTAATAGCTTGAGACTTCAAAAGTACCCACAACACCTCTTTTTAAATGTTCAAGGATAAGACAAGCCACTATAATTCCTGTCATACTTAAGAGACTTGAAAATTAAAAAAAAAAAATATTTCGAGAATAGACTCACGAGACAATATATACACTGAGGTCACTTGATGATTACTTGAAAAGGCGGTTCAGAACCCCTTTTAGCATGCTAAACCAACTCACCCATCAAAGCGTAACATTACTCTCAAACACTTTCAAGATAAACCCGTGTGACACGGTAAGCTTGATATTGATTCACAAGCTGCAATGACATAGGCATATCAAACACATTCTCAAGGCACAACAATATTCTGTTGCAGAAGCAGGACTATATATATACTGAGGAGAAAAAATGTACAAATCACTGCAAGGATACAAGTCAACAGATCTGGCACGGGCCACAACAAATGAGTGCAGCTGCCCACAGAGGTGACTTAAGAAAGCATCCAAGACAGGCGCTTGGGGTGATTGCGACATGTAAGATGTGCCGCTATGGAAGGAGCCTATAACGACAGTCGGACTCATTGAGCTCAACGACATGGCCGATGGTGATGGCGTCATCATCGGTGAGCAGCTCGATGGAGAAGGACTGCACGAGACTGGTGTTGAGCAAGACGCTTGGTCTTTCAGCCGGAGAAATTCCAGTCGCAGTGCCTCATACAGAGACTTCAGGGAAGTCTAAATAGTTTGGGAAAGTAAAGATAGAAAGAAAGACATTTATCGATGTATTGCAAAAATGTGTGGGTGCACACTGTTCTTTTGAGATGTTCAGCGGTTGTTTCTACACGGAAATCAAAAAGCCTGTGAACTTGTAGAGGCTGCTCATACATACATTCAAAAAATTGCACACTAGCACACCCTTTGTGAATGAAATGAAAAAACTTTACTTTAGTCCTGGAAGATGCGCTTAGCACGTAGCAGGCGTCTCCCACGTAAGGACCGACAAGGAGTACCTGGCGGCCGCTTCGTGGGCCTGCTGGACGGCTCATTGTAGGTCGGCGAGGCGTGAGCTCCTGAGGGACTTCTTCCACTTTGTTCGAGGTAGAGTCGGGAGGAGTGTTCCTACACTCCCAGAGCATGTGTGCGAGTTTCGCCGTGTGTCCACATAAGGGGCACGTGTTGCTGGGGTATGCATCAGGATAATAAACGTGAAGCTTGGTAAGGTTTGGGTACACTGTGGGTCTGTAATAGGCGTAGGGTTAGCGCCTGTGGTCTGTTAAGTTTCTGATGTGGGGTGAAAAAATGCGGCATTCAAGGTAAAAGTTCTTTTGTGATGTCATGTGCAATAGGGGGTATCCCCGAACTGAGCGAGATGGGGTTGTCCTGCGGCGGCACGGTCGGTAATTGTGCGCGCTTGCATCATGAATGATCTTATTGAGGTTGGATGGGGCACCGTGCATCTGGCCTTGATGGGCGGGGAATCAGATGACAGCGTGGTGTTTCAGGGCACTCGGGCCTGCGCTGCGCAGGATACGAAACGCCGGTCGTAGATGATGCCACGTTCGAAGGCTTTGATGGCCTGGTCTGGAGTTCGCTGTAGATGACTTCCCGTTTGCTGTCGAGCTTATCTATGGCTATAGCTACTTGCTCTGCTACTTCGGGGCTTTCAAGTGAGGATTGTGGCAGAGTTAAGAATCTGCTGCGTGGATGATACCGTGACTGCAGCGAAGGCTCAGTTGTTGTGATAGGCAGCGGCATCCACTGTACGATACGTTGTCCACTTGATTGATTGATTTGTGGGGTTTAACATCCCAAAAGCACTATTTGATTATGAGAGACTGCCGTAGTGGAGGGCTCCGGAAATTTTGACCACCTGGGGTTCTTTAACGTGCACCCAAATCTGAGTACACGGGCCTACAACATTTCCGCCTCCATCGGAAATGCAGCCGCCACAGCCGGAATTTGATCCCGTGACCTGCGGGTCAGCAGCCGAGTACCTTAGCCACTAGACCACCATGGTGGGGCTACGTTGTCCTACTTCCAAGTCTATGCGCTTGAGAATGGCGGTCGACCGCGCCAGGCGCCTGCCTTTGTTGTATTCGGGGTGTACTTTCGCAGAATTGGAGCGATCGTGATAAGGTCGCGAATTTCACGGGGAATTAGAGTCAACTCTGGGGGATCCCTGGCCGTTGAAGAGAAAAAGCCGAGCTCGCGCAGAATATGACGGTCCGTCTTGGTGCGCGTGAGGCTGGTCAATTGCACGTGTTCCTCAACAGCCTCGGTGATCTCATTCTAGCGTTTCTCTTCTTCCTTCAGCACCTTGTACACGCGTTTGTTTTGTGCCGCTTTACCTACGTCACCGCTATAGACAAATGGCTACGTGCTGAGCGCAATGAACTCTATGCCCTTATTTGCAAAGTGGTCAAACCAGCCCTTGGCCTCGTTGTCACTACTACAACGCACAAACTCCTCGAGCTTGGCGTACATAACACTCTTTTTGACTTTGCATGAAAAAGAGCTGAGTTATCTTGGACTCACTTGATGTGTCATCAGTTTTTGTTGATGTGGGTCCTCCTTACCATTATTTCCCTCCCTACTCCTGTCATGCAATCTATTATGTTATCTCGCCTTGCTCTTCATTTTGGCTTGTTCGACCGAATGAACCATCACCTCATAGTCAGCACCTGTTTGCATTACCTTCTTCTCTTTTGTGTTCTTGTACATTTTTTCTTCTTTTTTTCGCACTGCCACTGGCGAAGCTTACAGCGCTTCAGTAGCAGTAAACTTCAGTAATGGCGAACATGTCGCATCTAAACGGTGTAACACATTCTTGCTTTCCCGATGAAACATAATCGTAAGATAATGAGCAGGAGTAACGAGAGCTCCCTCGCTAAGAACATGCACTACATACACTATTTGCTAAATATTCATGCCGGTGGAAAGCAATGAACAAACTATGGCACATGGTGCATACTGTTGACATAGTTGGTAAGACATAATACTGACTAAGCAGCACACAATAACGTTCACGCACATACATAGAAGGCACAAACAAACAATTGCCAGCAAGACAAAACTTCAAAACTAACCATCGTGTTAGTGTATTTTTTGTGGGCGGTGTAAAAGTGGTTTCTGTGCGCCGCTTCACCAAATATGGCCGTGCTTGCTTCGCTTTTGCATTTTCCGATCACGAAATAAACACTCTGTCTATTTCCGTAGACACAGCGAGACCCTGCTTACAGTCATTCGTAACTGCAGCAACAGCACTAGATGTAGCGCTAGTTGGGCGATCAGAGACATTTTATTATTAATGTTTACGTGGTACAAAGGACGGCGTCGCAACAAACACTTACGTCTTTTCTCAAGAAGCTTTTTGGAGCCAAGTACTGCAAAGACATGTACAACTTTTCTGCGATGGCCATCTGCGACAGCGCCGTAAGGACGCTGCTGAACAGGTAGTTGGCACCAGTTTTGCACAAAGCATCCCGCTCTTTCTCCTGCAAACGATTTCACAGATTACAACAGCATCAAAATGTTTTGATGAACGCAAGTTCCACTTACAACGGTCTCTTTCGCTTTGTCATAATTGAAGTGCCCGAGACTTAAAAAGTAGAGTTCCAGAACTTTTTGCTCTTTCGCGAGGAAGTCCTCACAATCCATGTTTCAGAAACAAGCTCACCCAATTCTGCAACAGTGAAAACACTTCATAACATCGCGACTGCAATCGTGATCTAAGCGACAACAACAATCAGCTGAGAACGAATTGGATCAGCTAGGCTTGAAACCGCATTCACGTAAAAAATTTAAAAAAAGTTATGCGCGTAAGTTTTTAACAGTAAAAAATATAAGTTAAGAAAAACACAACACCTTTTTGTAACTAAAAAATGTCGGTCAATTTTATGCAATGAAGATTCTGCAATTTGTGCTAGCATGGCCTCCGAGAGTGCATTTGTTTCTTTCTACGACGGAGGAAGGAGCTCCGTGCTTTGTACCCATAGAGGTATCATTGTATGAAACTATAAGTGTCTACCACCATAGAGTTTTTACCATGGTGTAGGAAGGTGTCTACCATGGAATTTCATACAATAATACACGGAGGAAGGAAAAAAACCCGTGCAATAATACCTCGAGAGAGATCTGGCGCTGCGATCGTGTACTTACCGAGGAGGATTTAAAAAAATTGCTGGAGTGGAAATGATTGCGCAGAAGTAAAGCCTTTCCTCTGGCAAGAAGGCGGTTGTGGCGGCCATCTTACTAGGAGCAAAATAATGTATCGCCGTTTAGCGATTAAAAACGAAGCGTTTCTCTCGCACGCCCAACGAGTTTTATGTGGGAACTTTTTCGGGCCACATAGTGCTCCAAGTGCGTCTTAAAGTTACTAGTTTTCCGTAGTGAGCCTCTAATTGGAGGCCAAGTTCTTTGAGCCTCTAATTGGAGGCCAAGTCATCCATACTAGTTTCTGTGTGTTATTTCGTCGGGAACAACTATCCTTTAATATAGAACTAACGTAGCATTTACATAACGTATCAAAGCCACTTGATCTTTAAGTGGGCACTATCAGAAAAGAGCATGTTTCCGCCATCTTGGCAGTGGCAAAAGTTGGCTTCACTTCTGCTGGCAAGGCATTGCAGGAGCTTCCACTCCAGCAATTTTTCTTTAATCCTCCTTGGTACCTCCACTGTCCACAGGCATCAGATTGGATAGAGTTAGCTGGCGAACTGTCTACAGACTTTTTCTACATTTGAAGTGTGGCAGTTTGGGCTAGTTGGTATGATATGACGATAGTTATAGCGCGAAAACAGAACGACAACAACATTTCTAGTTATTTGGGATATTTTTCGTGTTTCCTTTCATCAATCAGTCCTCATAACCCTCATCGCAGTCTCCATTTGCCGTTCGCGCACCTTGACCATCTGCATTCGCGCAAAGCACCTACCTCTGCACGTTAAAGCCTTCTTGTTTGAAGGTTACCACCCCTCTATCGGCCATGGTATACGAGTGTGCGAAATTCTGAGGTCTGAATAGCACCGACAAGAGCGCACATACCGTGATGCCCTGTTTGTCCAGCTTCAACAAACAGATCTTTCACCGAGATTGAAGAAAAGAAGAAGGCGAGAGTACTGCGACCGAATCGAACACACTGCAAACAGCTTGCGGTCACGTGAACTAACTAGCCTTCATGCGCAGTGCCCAACCAAGTCCCAACAATCGGGTGTGGTCCATTCTTGCAGTGATGTCGTCCTCCCAGACTGCGTTCACAACACCCTCGCCCTTGGTCCGAAGTTCACCGTCGACGGAGAGAGGTCTGCACCCGAGCTTCTTTCAATGGTACGCTCTGTTGCTGCCCACGCCTCACCAGAGGATTCAGACAGATGCATCTCGGAAGGCGTCGACGTGCTCCTACGGGGTAAGCCTACCAGCACCTGCCTTCCATTGCGGAAGACGGCCAAGTTTCTGAGAGACAATGAACTTTCTGTCGTGCCATCAGATAAGGAGGGTGGTTTCGCTGTTCTTCCTAATTGCTTGTACCTGGAAAAAGTGGTCACAGCTATTGGCTCTGTTTTCAAATGTTGTATTGACATTCGTCTAGATAGAGTTAAAACGCAAGTGAAAGAAATGTCTCGTAAACTAGAGTTGAAACAGTTAGCACAGCATATTAGTAAAAGCGACAAAAATGGGCTCAGCATGTCCTTTCTTCGAAATACATAAAGTCGACATGCCCTTCCGAGTAATTGTGACAGAAAGTGGAACGTGGCAAAAGCAACTCGGCTAGTTTATTCAGACCCATCTAAAGGGTCTAACGATCGATGACCCATTTCTGATAAAAAAACTCGCTGGCACTGATAGAATTTTTCAAACAGTCAAATCAAACTAATGTGTTCGCTTTTTCAATTGACATAAAGGACCTGTACTACTCACTTTCTCACGATGAGCTATAAGAATGTATAAGGAATTACATAGAAGTATTCGGGGAATCGAAGCTTCCAATCAAAAACTGGCATCAGTACACGAGATTTCTTTGACCTTGTTTTGCTGTAACTTACCTCTACGTTCGTTCAATGGAATGCTTGCATTCTACCTGCAGAAAAACAAAAGTGTTTCAATTGGCCCATGCATAGCACCTCTACTCAGTGATTTACTATTGGCAAAAATGGGCAATAAACTGCAGAAAAAGTTAGGGGGCACGCATGGCGTCAAAGTATTCAGAAACGTGGATGATTTCTTGGTTCTTCTAATTTGTAACCCTTCTAAGTTCCACTCGATTACGGCTCAAACGATAGGCGTGTTTGAAGATTGTTTATAACCTCTTGTGTTGACACATGAAAAGCCCGAGAATAACAAGTTACGCTTTTTGGATTGAAGATTGTTTTTTTTTTTAGCACACAGCATATTTGTTGGTGTTACGAACCACGTGCGCAGAAACCTTTACTTCATTTTTCTTTCGCTCACAGAAAGTTAGTGAAGCGAGGCATGGTACGGACCTGCCTTGAGAATGCCTTGAACAGGTCGTGCGTTCACAACATCTCTGCGAGCTTCAAAGCTCAAATGTCCCGGCTTATGGCTTCGGGTTTTCCTGAGTCGTTTATTATCGCTTCTGTTGCTGAGACTATCCTGCGGACCAATAGGGCCGAGCAGAAACAGGGACAGGATCCGAGCAACACGGATACAGAGCCTGAAAGGATAGCCGTTATTCCTTACAAACACCAGATGTCACACAGGCTCAAGAAAATCTGAAAACTTGCGGGAGTTCGTGTGCTGTTCTCTGCACCGTTCAAATTAATCAGTTTCGCCAAATCTACAAACCCCCTGAAAACGCAGTCATCAACTAAATGTTGAGTTAAGCATAGAAACAGGTATGTGGCATGCTTCCGGGAAGTTGTCCTTTCCTGCGGGGCTTGTTATGTCTGAACGACCGGAAGATGTCCGAACGATCGACTGAGAGAACACGCTAACAATGTTAGAAACGGGAAAGATGGTTTTCGTGCTCAGCACTGCACTGAGTGCAACTGTGCGCCCCTTTTCAAGGGCACAGTGTCGCTGTACAAGCACAGGGATGAGCACATCCGAGTTATCGTCGAGGCCGCGCAGATGGCACGCGAACAGGTGTCATGCAATAGCAAGCCCACCATGTCTCTGTCCGAGAAGGAACTAAGGTTCCTCGAAGGTTTCGGTGCGCGCAAGTAGTTATATTACTTTTACGTTTCTGTTTCGTTTCCTTATAGACTTTTCTTTGCCTTTTTGTGTTTTTATTTTTTCCCTTACTCATCCATTGCCCTTTGTGCCACATGTTTTCGCGCTATGTGCAATAAACTCAGTTGGAAGTTTAGCGCTCCTGTCCTTCTTGTCTCTTTGTCGTCGTTCTGTTCTCGCGCTATAACCATCGCCATGTTTTTTCTACAGTTTCAGCTTCGTTCTTCGCGCAGCGCGGGTAGTGGTGTGCACTGAAAAGCACAGAAGCAGTGCCATTGTTGTTCAAAGACGCTTGAGACCACATTTGTCTGAAATGTTTGGCGACGCTGAGGCCATAAGAGTTCTTGTATTTGACATTCTAACGAATCGTCGTCCACTTACCGCGGCGCACAGACGTAGCGTCTCAAGCCAGTGTGGAATGTTGCATCGAGTTCATTTAATGAGCGCGTATTGCCTAAACTCGTTTTAAATCGACTGCAAAACAATGGCGAAGCTAAGTAGACGCACCGTCACGCCCCGCTGACACGACTTCACAACAAACCAGAGATGCGTTCGGGGACAGACCACTTGAACAGACACACCTAGCATCGCAGAAGACGAAACGTTATGTGTGTCTCACTTAATGCTGTACTGTTATCTCAACAAATAGATAACGCCTACTTTCCAGAGGAAAACAAGCATGCTTTTTTTTTTTTCAAGTGTTGTAAAAAATAATTCTTAAAACCTATGATGCCAAATCTGGAACGCTATATGGCAGAGCAATGCTAAACCCTGATGGTTGAATTTGCCCAGGTTTCACTTTTGTCGCCTCGTCACGAAAACTTTTTGCAATAAAGCTTGGGTAGAAATAAATGGAGTTAGTTTCAGATAAATATAAGTTCATACCACTTTGTTTTACACTCGAAAAAGAAGCGTTGCGAATCTCAAGAACGTAATCTATCCGAAGCTTGTACTCGTAATTCCTATTGGGGGTACAAGCGCTACTGAAGGCGCCCGCGTAGACACTAGCGCCAGATTCCCCTCTAGGTATTATTGTATGAAACTCTATGCTGTCTACCACTCGCTTCAGCTACAAGCTCAACAATGACCTTAAGATCTGAATAATTTCTCTTTTCAGAAACTGCTGTAGTTACAAATGTAAGCTTGGGCCAACTTTCTTGGTCTATCGCGCAATAAAAATTTTAATGGAACCATTCATGGGGAAACATAAAAAAGTTTTGCCCAAGGATTTTCACGTAGTGCAAAAGCCTGGCCTCTGAGATCAAGCTGATATTTATACACAAAAACATTGGCATTTAGCTTTTTTTGTTTGGTCTATGTCGTAATAAAATCTTTTTAAAATTATTATGCTTACCTTAACGTTGCTATCATCAAAGCTCACCTGTAAATGCCCGTAGTAGTTAAAAGTAAACCGCTCTCCAGTACTTGAGCTGCTGTATCAGTCTGACTCACTGATTTTTGTACAACAAAAATGCCTTACAAACTGCCAAAAAACACAGAACAATAATACGCCGCTTTTTGATGAAAACAATATCAGGGAAACAAATGAACACTAACTAAAA